TAGCCACTTACAGGAGGTGGAGATGAAGTGTGGGGGATCGTAGTTGACGCGAAAGAGATCTTAATATGTATGTTCAGAGCAAGTTTGTGACGTCACTGGCTCAAACTTAAACTGTTCCCAGGGCCTAATGCAGAAATCGCTCTCCGTCCCTTCGGATGAGGTCAACCCTAAGTATAGGCTGGCTATCAATTGGTTTCAATGATCACACCCTGTAATTTCCCCCAGGATGAAATTTTTAGAACCACAGGAAATGACACAACGTTAACTACGGCTGACAGACCATAAAAGGAACACTTGCTCTCAGAGTTACCTGAAGGAACAAAAGCCACTCGATCGACCCATGACAGTTTTAATAGGACTGCTTCTTGGTGAAGTAGATATGCAATATTGGAAAATGTACATATTTATACTACCAAAGAACTGGCTTCTCCTTTGTTGTTAACTATAAATTTAAGGCTTAGGTTTGCATGAGTGAAGATGGCTTACGTATTTGGGCTGGCCGTTACTAATTGCTTTGGAGCGGTACCGGCCTTCTAGGCGGGGAACGAGGAATATACATAATTTATATATGTTATTGTAATTATTTCTACTAAGCTTGGCAAACATCACCCGCAGTATTATCATTCTACCATGGAAGACAAATATTTTGGAGCTATCTTCCCAGTCACTTGCTGTTGAACGAGTGTCGAATTTTCTCTGCGACTTTCGTCAATTTTATTCGGAGCCTTAGTTACGAATAGATTGCAAATAAATGAAAGGCTAACATCAAACTTAAAACGAGAACTTGGAGCTGAGGCTAAGATAGCATACTTACTAGAACAAACTTTTCTTGATAGACTGGATCCCAGAACATGTTCGACACGATTCCATGATTCTCTGGATACAAGCCCGTTAGGTAGCTATGGTGATTTGGCCAAGTTTTACTGGGTACCACGGTTTTAAGATATTTGGATGTCACTCCATTTTGGGCAAGGAAGTCGAGATTGGGTGTGTTAGCATATCGGTTCTCTATAAACTGCCATCGCATCCCGTCCATCGAAACAATAATAAGCGGGTGCGTGGATTCCTGTTCTTCTTGACCAAATCCAACGATTATAAAAGCGCAGAGCAACACACTGAGAAAGGCAGAAATGTAGATTACCATTATGTAGACACAAGGAAGTAGAAATGCTTAGTAATAACTTGCTACTTGAAAAGTTATCATATAAGACGGTTCAGGGCATAAATGCAATTGCGGGGAGCCAATGATTTTAGTAGCTTATCAATTAATGTTCAATCTATTGTCGGTTTCAAAGGGCATTGTATTCGTACGGTTTAATATAAGAACAAAAAGACACAAACTAAAGAATGCAATGCAATTCGGATGAAAGAACGTATTCCTTAAGCAAGAACAAAGCTGTAAAAGTCATTAATGTCATTATGACAGACGTGAATTAAACCAAAAATTATTCATAAGCCATGTGGAACAGCCTTCCACAAAAATTTACCTAAAAGCGTGAAAAACGTTTAGGGGAAAGTCATGTATTTCTGTTTGAATGAGAAATTTGGGTGGTATTTTAAGTTTTTGTTTTTTAACACAGCTTAAAACCTTAGCAATATAACTCCAAACGCAGTTTGGAAGTTTCTTCTCTAAACGAGCTCTTACGTAATAAATCTTTAACAGTCTCATCAACTTGTCAAACATGATAAATGTGTTTCTCAATACTTGCATGATCATGATATGAACTACTCGAAAGTGTCGATTATTACAGAACTGAAAAAGGAAACCTTAACAAAATTGTACTAAAACTTAAATTTCATGGATTTGCAGACTAAAAATCGCAGACTAACTAGGCAATAAACTTTTATTTTAGATTTATTGGATTAACGGCTACTATAAAACCAGAAAATTAATGCAGGAAATTTCAAGGAAGCTACTCTGAGAAAATATAAAACGACAAACTGATCCTTACGGCAAGGCGATGAAGAAGTAAAAAGAATAAAACAAAAACTATGTGTTTAAATAACAATTATTCACCGAAGTGGAGGTGGCTAGTCCTGGATATTTACCGAACTGCGAAGCAGTGAGGTAAATATCCACGACTAGCCACCGACACTGAGGTGAATAATTGTTTTAGTATATACTAAAACCGTGAGATAATTGAGCTCAAAAATGACGATTTTTAACTCAAATACTGTTGCCAACGATTACAATTTTGNACTATAAAACCAGAAAATTAATGCAGGAAATTTCAAGGAAGCTACTCTGAGAAAATATAAAACGACAAACTGATCCTTACGGCAAGGCGATGAAGAAGTAAAAAGAATAAAACAAAAACTATGTGTTTAAACAAATTTGTTTAAATATATATTTTTGTTTTAATTTTTTTGTTTACTTTTTCATTGCCTTACCGTACTCAGTTTGTCGTTTGATATTTTCTATTATTGTACTGATCCAAGTCTACAACTGGGAGATCCGGCACCACTTATCGGTTTGTCACTGTAGACTTACTGATATTTTATAGCGGAGCTTTTGCGCGCGAAGGGCGAGAATCGGAGCACCATGGGTAAGAAAATGTGGTAAACTACCCATCCGAGAAAATTTGGTAATCACGTGACCGTACACCGACCGCCCGAGAGTCCTTCCGCACCACAGGCATACCAATATAAAATAATTCAACCTACAGGTATGGCAACCGAAATGCAACTCAAGGTTTTATTTGGAAAGAAATCGCATGGCCGGCCGGACTTTTAAAAAGAAAAAACAACGACAAAGTCGTGTTCTTTTCGACGTTATTTTTGATGTTTATACTCACGTGGATAACAGAGAAAGAGCGAGTGATTGAAAACAAAACAGACGAATTTTGTCGGAAGAAAAACATGAAAATTCAAAGCGGCGGTGAGACAATGAGAAATGATAGCGGCCAGCAAGGTGAAAATGAGCGGCAGTGAAAAATAAAAGCGAACATGAACACAGGAGACAAAATATTGGGTAAGCACATACGACAATCCTTCCACAAAAATAATGTGTAACTAGGAAAAGTGAGGTTTTAGTCCTACAAAACAGCGTTGCAGTTGTGCAAAACAACGGCAAAGAAAGACAAAAAGCGTGCTGTACGTGCAAATTGGTTTTTTTGATAATTAGAAAAAAAAAGTGTGCTGCACGTACAATTTTTTTTTTGTTTTTTACTAATTAGATCTATTGATCTTGATGCCATTTTCATTGCCGTCCCCGTTTAGCATTACACGATTTAATTTTTTTTGTTTATAAGTATTATTAACCAGAGCTTCGCTTTTAGCCCTGGCTATATACAGCTATTTCAAGAAAGGTTATAGGAAAAAATGTGAACGCGACAATCCCGAAAGGTAATATGGGATATGTTCATTACACTGTTCCTGACACTGTAGCTGTCGAACCTACTTTGGTTACTTTCCTTTAGCTCTCACAGACATATGTCCAAGGTCTCTCCTGCCGGTCTTTCAAATTTCTTTGAAAACAGTGAACTCAAAACCACCCACAATACCTTTCGGGGTTGTCGCGTGCCCATTATCTGACCACATTTCTCGAAATAGCTGTATATTATTTTACTGGCAGTAGTTGCAAATTAGGGGAGTGCGTTTGATGGGGAGGGGAGGGGGGTGGGTTGGTGGGTAGTGAGTGCTAGTGGGAAGGAGGTGCAAACCCTGATGGGCTTGTAATATTGGGATATCAAAATCAAACACTTTTATCAATACGAATATCAGCAGCTGTCTTTATCAGTGTTATTGTTTATCCTCCTACTTTACAATTTTTCCTCAAAAATGCAAGAGTGTACTGTACTTTTTACATTTACTTGGCTAAACCTCTAAGTAAAGTACATGTATGTAACAACAGGTCAAACACTGATATTCTTTTGCACTCTAGGATGGTCAACAAAATTGGCTAAAAATAGGGATAGAGAAAAATTAAAGTTATCTGAAAAGTTTAAGCGTCGAGTATCACTTTAAGGTGACTCGACCCAGTTATTTTGTGGGGGTACCATCCTACTTTGAAGCTCTCTGGTATCCCCACCTTTACTTTGATCGTAAGTCCAACATATAGCATGGATAACATATAGATCAATTTACAATATAGCATAAAATTGTTGGCGATCGGAGTAAATGTCACGTGGTTATAGTTCCACGCCTCTTTCGGGTCTGAGTCAAAATTCTGCTGTTGCCGGCATTTTTTCGTGAAAATCTCTCCGCTACATATAGTGCACATTAGTGCCTTGCGTTGAACAAAGTTTCACCAAAATCGCAAAGACCCAATTCAAGAAATTCAATGGTTTGCAAATTTAGGTCATAATTTATGTAAAAATGGTAAGCAAACTTTACACGATTATATCTAATAAACTATGAGATTTATCTCTTTATTTTGGGGATCTTTATAACAGATGGGTCCTTGCAAGTCAGTAAAAAGCTTTAGGGCCTTGTAACTGCGCGCGATTTCTAGCAATGCAAACATATAGAAATTAGAGTTTTAGCTATTTGCTGACATTTGTCAGCGTTTGAGAGTCCTTCTCACAAAAAAAGCATTTTCTTAAAAATTCGTAGTTTTGGGTCACGATTTTGGGGGGCGAAAAGATGTCATTTGTAATAGAATTAAATATGGTGGATCTAAGCTGATCTTGCTTGAATACAGTGTATCCGATTATCTTAGAATGGAAATTTTCCTATAAGAAAAAACTGATTGAATTAATTGAAAACTGCGAGAAAAACTATAAACAAACCTGTAGTAAACAGAAAATCGCCAACGTTTCATCTGTGAACGAACAGTTTCCAGAAAAACTGAGGACATGAGATCGAGGCAAAATGTGCCAGGCCGCTCCAAGATGGCTAAAACGGGTTTAAAAACGGGTAGTGTCCAAACCGTAATTGCATACAGAACGGTTACTACTTTATGTACGGTACGCAAAAAGACCTGTAGTCGAATTAGACTCTGAGAAATGCTGGGTACAAGTAGTATTGATTGCGCAACAACTGAGCCCACGTTGTCGATCGCATACTTAAAATCAAGATGGCGGCAACAATGAAGCGAAAAAAAGTGAGTAAAAACAAAAAGCAAACGTGGCGAAAACATACAGATATTAAGGATGTAGAAGAGCATCTTGAAGAGGCCCGGCGCGAGGAAAGAACGGGGTAGGTTTATTTGCGCAGTCGTTTCCAAAAACGCTGAGCTAAACCTCAGCTTATCGTGTTAAGTGTTAATCCACGTGAGTTACATGTATGAAATTATGAGCCGACAGAATCTCGAACACTTAAACAGAAAGAAAACCATTTTTGAATTAAGAACCGAAAAACTTAATCTTTCACTTGCTTTATAAGTACTTTTGCTGTTTAATTTGTTGCCTTAGCTATTTATCACTTTGTGAAAGCATAGTTATTAGAGGAGACTGGTTATGAAAAGCGGCAAACATCAATGATAAAAACAACAGTGCTGCAGTTTATGTTGGAAGCACCCTGAAAGTGCACAATCCGTTGTTTTCTGTTGGCAAATTGTTACGGAATAAATTAATGCAACGTTTTTATTGGTCAATACAATCAAAATAATAGGAATTCTTTTGAACGTTGTGCACTTTCAGGTCCACAAAAACATATAACAAAGGAGTCTGACGGGTTTCATAACCATTCCACTNACTTAATCTTTCACTTGCTTTATAAGTACTTTTGCTGTTTAATTTGTTGCCTTAGCTATTTATCACTTTGTGAAAGCATAGTTATTAGAGGAGACTGGTTATGAAAAGCGGCAAACATCAATGATAAAAACAACAGTGCTGCAGTTTATGTTGGAAGCACCCTGAAAGTGCACAATTCGTTGTTTTCTGTTGGCAAATTGTTACGGAATAAATTAATGCAACGTTTTTATTGGTCAATACAATCAAAATAATAGGAATTCTTTTGAACGTTGTGCACTTTCAGGTCCACAAAAACATATAACAAAGGAGTCTGACGGGTTTCATAACCATTCCACTCAATTAACTATGGTGAAAGTAAGTTCTTAATTTGAAAGAATAAAGCTTTTATGACTGTGATAACAACGTTTGACTACAAAATGTGTCAGGTTGGCAAGGAAATGGAGTTGTAATATTTGATTTATGTTACATTCGAGGCTTTGGTCTTCTCTATAATATTTACATTGAGCTTATAACTTTTGCTGTGGCTATATGGCCGGTAACCGGTCAAGGTTTTCAAAACACTAAATGACCGGCAGTCTCATATTCTCAGTAAATTTCACAAAATCGAAAAATTCCAGCTAACCGTAACTATCATATGTCGATTAAGAAAAGTCAAGTGATCCTGAAATGCTTTATAGATCTTAAGTCTAGCGTTTGGTTTACGCTGGGCTCAGAAGACGAAACCATGTGTTGAGACACTTCAAAACTTTTTTCAGGTCGACTGCCGGTCAAGGTGTTGAAAACACTAAATGACCAGCAGTTCCTATATTCTCCCTAAATTTCACAAATCGAAAAAATCCAGCTTAACCAAACTATCATATATTGATTAAGAAAAGTCAAACGATCCTGAAATGCATTATAGATCTCAAGAATAAACCGAGAATATAGGGACTGCTGTAGGTACCAGGCTAGGACTGCTGGTCATTTAGTGTTTTCAACACCTTGACCAGCAGTCGAGCTGAAAAAAGTTCTAAGTTTTAATATGAATTCGAAATGGCTGACTTATTAATTTTTCTGATTATGCCCCTCCCCCCCCACCCCATTGTGGGATCACAACTTATAGATGTAACATTGTAACAATGGGGCGAAGCACTTATGTCATGTTAAGACTGGATACTGGCGATGCAGACTTCATTGTTATTAAACCTCCTACTGTTTGTTTTAATAGTGGCCCTGTCTCAGAAAAGCCTGATGAAGGACTGTTTTTTGTTGACAAGGATACTGAAGAATCTCCAGTGACTGGTATGTTCAATACTCAATACCTTCTTGTGCATACATTGCATTTTGTTTTCATAAAAATGAAATTTTGTAGCATTAGGCAAATGAATGTGTGTTGGCAGGACCAGGGAAGGACACTGTCATTCACACTTTTTTTACTCATCTCTTGGTTTCAGCAACAATGGGCAATTGTTATGATGGACATGGTATTAAAAAAATTTCAATGCTAACAATCTGTCATAGTTTCTGATGCTATATAAGAAATTCCAAAGAAGGGCTGCACAGTTTGCAGTGTATTGCTCCAAAACCTCAACCCAATTTGTGACAGAAATTATAAATGAGGCCCTGCCAGGGGGGGGGGGGTCCCATGTCGCCCATCTGAATTTTAAAATGTCTCTTGTCGCAATTTGGCCAAAGGAGGTTGTCTCTTGTCGCAATTTCATTTTACGCGCTGTCGCTACTTTTTGGGCCATGTCGCTTGTCGGAATTTACTCTGGCCAGGCCTCATAAATGGTGGAGACAATATGTTCCAAAACGCAGAGCAAAAAAAGTGTGATGTAAATTATAATTATTTAGATATGTGTTTGAATTGCTCAAAATTCATCAGTGAAGTAAAGTGGGAAATTTGGTTGCATAACTTAGTTGTTACATATTTCCAGGAGAGGATTGTGATTGGCCGGAAGGTGCAGTCCCTTGTCTCTATTCACTGAGGGTTTTCTTTGCTTGATGGCAATGGCCTCAATGTGGCACTTGATGGTGTTCATTACTCAGTGGTGTATGTTATGATTATTATTTATGAAATGCTTGTTGACTGGAACTTGAAGAATTTTTGAAAGAAAGACCTTGAGTTTGAACAGGCTAACAGTCCTGAAAACCCAGGGAAAAACATTTGGCAGGTCAAGAAGAAAGCAAATACATCTCTGATGGGTCCTACATAATGTGTTTTCTATGTCATATTTAGTTACATAGATTGTAACTTGGTGCCTTATTAAACTATGCAGATGAGTCTAAGGTGCTGTCAAGAAAAAGAAAACTTCTGAAAGCAGAACAGTTGGTTCTGCCAGAAACCAAGATTAAACCAGTTGGTAACAAGAAAAGAAAGATTGTCTCAAAGATCAGAAAAGCAGGAGATCTTGAGGAGTCTTCTGATTCTGATGTGGAAAAAGAGAAAAGTAATATGGGTTATGCAAAGGAGGCTAACAGTCAAGATAGTAAAGACAAAGTGTTTGATTTATGGGAGACAAAAGGTATGAATTCACACATCCAGTAACACACATTGATATTATACAACTATTCCTGAGGGAGAAGTAAATAACTATTATAATGGTGGAAATATACCAAGAAGGATGTGTCACTGTATTTATCTCACTGTACCTACCTTAAGGGGGGGGGGGGGGGGGAGGAAAGGGGAAAATTACGGTTTAGTAAAATGTTTTTTTTGAAAAAAAAAAACCTTTTTTTTTTTTTTTTTTTTAAAAATTTTTTGGGGGTTTTTCATATCCATTTTAATGAGATATTGTGTCAAATTTACCCCCCCAAAAATTTTTTTACCTACAATGAAAACCAAAAAAGCAAATTGGTGTTAAATTTTTTTTTTGGCATTTTTTTGGTCCAACAAAAAATGATAAAAACCCAACCCAATAAACAATATAAATAAAATAAACCTAAAAAATAGAGAGAAAAAAAAATATATTTTAGGTGGGAGAAAATAAAATGAGAAGGTGGTTTCTTTTTTTTTTTCTCTGTGGAACTGGGGGGGGGGGGGGGGGGGGGGGGGAGGAAAGGGGGAAATTACTGTTTAGTAAAATGTATTTTTTGAAAATAAAAGACCTTTTTTTTATTGATTTTATTAAAAATATTTTGGGGATTTGTCATATGCATTTTAATGAGATCATGTTGCAAATTTAGCCCCCCAAATAATTTTCTACCTACCAGTGAACACCAACAAGCTAAATTGGATTCAGTTTGTTTTCTTGGCATTTGTTGGTACAACTGCTCCATTTATGGCTAAAAATAGGTTTTCTGAACTGTTGTACAAAATAATGTGCCATTTTGACTCTTGTCCTTAAAAGAGTGAATAGCATTTAGGATATTCCAGATTGCATGTATAGGATCCAATTAAAATGCATCAAATTGTTGTCCACTGATTTCGAAAATACTAAACTGTGTTATGTAACAATTATTATTCCGTGAGCCCGAATGGACTCTGAGTCAAGAGATAGATAAATCGTTTATTCAAAATCACAACTAGTAGCTATAAGCTGAATTACTTGTGTTATGTACATGTTGATAAAAATTTAACCTTATAAAAATTCCTAACTATATCATAAGAAAAAAAACTATCATACAATGATAAAATTACATCAGATCTAGTATAAAGGTTCTATTTACAATAATTGTTGCTTATCTGTATAGTGCATTATAAAAGAATTTCTAAACCTCTTTGTTTTTACACATGGGATTGAAAACATATGCCTATTCCTAAAGTTATATCTCTCATTGTTGTTTCACGGGGACAGCAGGCCAGTTAGCTTATGCTGGCCATCGCTCTCTACAATTTGTTTAAACAGAGTGCTACATAATTGCTCGTGTGTATGAAATAGTGTTTTTAAACCCTCATCTTCCAGGGCCTTGCTATATGAGATTTCTGGGAATAGAATCCTTAAGACTCTTTTCTGAACCTTCTCTATTTGAGGCCGAAGGCCGAATGGGCTATTGACTCAGAGGCCATGAGGGCGAGAGGAATTATTGTTTTCATAAAATCCAACTAGTTGGTCAAAAATAATGAGACAAAACAACTTTAGCTAGTTAAAGCTAGACTTTAATCCTTTTTTGGCGCTTTTCGCTTCTAGTGGGCTATAACATATAGCCTGGTAGTAGCTCAACCAATCAGAATGCAGCATTGATAATAGACCACTAGTTGGATTTTACTAATATTCGATATTACCAGACTTACAAACCAAGGATTCACTGTACATATCATTGTGACAAGTAACTAAAATGTGCTATTTCATGTTTAAGTACACAATAATGTTGTGTTGTGTAAACAAATTAGATTTACATTACTTTAATGTACAGTAATGGAATCTGAATTAAATGGATTTGTAAGATTATACACTCTTTTGTGGATTTTTTAGATGCTCAAACTGGAGATGAACATTTTCTGACAACTACAAGAAAAATAAAAGTGAAGGTAAGTGGTTGTGTATATTTGTTGAAAGGCATTAACCAAAACCATCAAAAAGCACACGTACATGTACATACTGATGAAACTCTTTCAAGCCACTTTTAACTTGACGTAAAACAGTGATTGTTTTGTTGTGTCTTTAGAAACCAAAGACTATCAACAGGAAGACATCAAAACTGAAAGCTGTTGAAATCTGCCATCCTGGAGCATCATACAATCCAAGTTATGATGATCATCAGGTAGATCTTATCTGAGGCCTGTGGCTCTCATTACAGGCAACCCACTTCTCAAGCATCTTACCCTTTTAACTTCAAAAATTGCTTATAATTAAAACTCAAGAAAAGTAATACTAATTATGTCACTTTTTAAAATACAGAAGAACAGTTATGTACCTTGTGAGAAGTGCTGTTTGACAGGTTTTGATATTTTTTGGTGAATGGTCATGCCATTGTCCACAGTCCCAAAAGGTATAGCTTACATATACCTATACCGTCCCAGTCTCTTAAACATCAGAACTACGTAACACAACTTTTTGATAAATTTTATGAGTGAAAAATGTTAAACTCTTACCCTTTGATCTTTAAAATTAAAGCCCTTGTTGCTCAAGCTCTCCAAGAAATATTGAAATATTTGTTTTAATAAGCCCTCAGCCCTTCATACCATGATACTTTCCATGCATGTCTTGTTTTGACTCAATCCTTACCTGCTTTTAGTTGTTGCTTAAAACGGCTCATGATGTGGAGCTCAAGAAGGTTAAAGAAATAGAAAAATTAAAAAGAAAAGTGAAGTTCCTGTCTCCTGAAGAGGCTGCCAACTTGGTAAGCTGTCTGTTTCATTGTATAAGAGCTCCTCGGGTGCGCGAGTGGAGCCCCATACCTAAGAAAATCCAACAAATTTTTATAATCACATGACTGTGATTTACTTGTTAAACTGTAATATAACACCGTAATATAACAATTGGGACATTTATGGCATACCAAGAGGAAGAGTTGTATAACTAATCTATCCCATGCCAATAAACATGATGACATAAAATGGAGAAACCTGACATCACACGTAAACAAAAAGAAAGCCACTTTTAAAAATATATGTACAATATGTAAACAGCGATTTCCAAATGAACCATAGCTTATCAATGAGTAAAATTCGTATTCCCCTCTGTCTACCTGAAAAAAAAAATGGCAACACATCTGTCAAACGTTTCTTGCAGGATTTGTGTTGGCTTTTTGTTTTGAAATGTGGATCCTTTTTGGTCTTTGTAGCATGGGTTAGCTGGTTTGTTTTTGTTCCCCTTGACTAATAGATATGTCTGTTGTAGTCTGTTTGATTTCGTTTTGGATTACTCATTGAAATTTGACTTCCTAAAAGTCTGAATGGTAGTTACAAGTGGAGTTTTATGGTGTCCTGTAAAGTTGTGTCTGGCACTTTTTGTAGAATGAAAAGTTTTTCCTGTTTGTATCTGGTTTGTTTTTGGCTGGAAAATGTTAAGGCAGTGCGCATTGCCAGGATTTGGTCGTAAAAATTAATACTACAGTTGCATTCTGCAGAATATTCAACAGATTTCTTGCTTTCTGATTGGCTGAGTATTCTTTATGGCATGGGATAAAATAACTTACTCCAGTGTAGTACCGTATCCACCCGCATGCATATTAGTATTTTTTTTGTGGAAAGAAACCACAGACTCCAGAGATTAAACCACATGTGCCTTCTGCAAATAACCAGGCTCTCTAAAAGTCTCATGTATCTATAAACAGTTTAGGTACAGTGATAACTGCTGATGGAATTATCAGATGGGATTCTATTTTAGACGACAGGGTGTAAAGAAAGTCAGTTTTACAGCTTGCCATTCAGGCTAGCTGAAGCTAGCATGTACTATTCCATGAGTCATTTTAACTACATGTAGCCCCCCCACCCCCACCCCCTTTCCCCCAAAATTTGATGGGTTGATTAGAGTTCTTCTATAACAAAAATTCCCCAACAAACTTCCCTTTCCTGTCAGGCAAGCCAAGATCAGAATTCACAAGTCTGATAGCAAAATCCACTAGCAGGGTTCCTACTGGTCATGGAAAACCTTGAAAGTCATGGAATCTAAGAATTTCATTTTCCAGGCCTGGAAAGTCATGGAATTTAATTGTCACTCCTTGAATGTCATAGAAAGAAGGTTTTGTTTAGTAGATTAGTTACTGCAGATGACAAAGCAAAGACAGTGAAAGATAACCAGAAGCAATTAAAGAGTGCGAATAGTAGCATATTTTGTGCATACCAGAGTTGGTGGCTGTTGAACTGTTTAAGGTAAAAAAATACCTTAAAACACGGAAGGTTTTGAAAATTTTTGAAAGTGACAGCTAAAACTAAGGTCATGGAAAACTTGAAGAGCTCATGGAAAAAGTCATGAAAAATTCCTGGAATTTGAAGAGCTTTAAACATTCTGAACTCTGACTAGCCCCAAGGTATCAGACACTACATGTACTTCCCTTGCACACTAAAAATTAATGTCTCATGGAAGTCTATTTACTGACTATGAATTATCATCCATTTGATATTTTAGACCAAGTGTATGTTCCATTTACCCGCAATTGAACGAAATTAACTGTGAAAACAGTGGAAAGTTGTAACTCAAGGTAAAACATCCATTTTTTTGTGCTATTTAGCCAACATGGACGGAAGAAATGAGTCAGGGACTCTTCAATGAAGAGGAGAAGGAAGAAGATGAATTAAACAGCGATGATGAACAGGAAGGGTTGTCTGCTGCTCCAGTTAGGGCTGTGGACAGAAAAACAAAACAGCAAAGAAGAAAAGAGAAAGAAATACAACAAGAGGTAAGTAGTGTTTAGCGTGAAAAAGCTAAAAAGCGAAATAATTTGACAAACGAAATATTTTCATGTTCTCACTTTCTGAGATGCCTAAGGAAAACAATGCAAATTAGTAAATGTAATATATAGAAAAAAAATAGTAATTAAAATAAATGACAAGTACAACTTAATTTTGGAAAATAATCAAAATATGTTTATTGGGAGTTAAAATTACAGTACGTGTGTATATACAGTGTAATTAATTCTAAGTGCAAAAGATTTCTTCAAGTAAAGTGAGGGATTGAAACTTGGCTAGAGAAACTAAGTTATTGGTCCACTTTCAAGTTGTTTCTCTGGCAATACTCTTTTCTGTTGCTAATAAAAGAGATATATTTTTAACTAATTTAGCCAAAAAAAAAAATTAAAAAGGCTCATTCTTCTTTTTGTCTCTACAGCAAAAGAGGCTAGAGGAAGACAAAAAGAATAAATTACGACAAAATGAGATTTTTAGGTAAGTTTAATTGCATTAAAGAAGGAAGAAGAGGAATTGTTTTTCAAATAGATATATCTTATTGGACGGTTTAGTGTGTGGTGTCAGGGATCCATATTCATTTTTTCGCAGAGTCGTCAGCCGGGCAAGTAAGCCTGATGGCATACTTGCCCGAGTTACAATTTGGGTTGCCAGGACAAAAGTGCAGAATTATATTTAAGCAATAGAAAACGTTTTCCGTGTTTGCATAGCCTGATATAAACACGAGAGGGGTTGGGAGAATTCGAGACAGTTTATGCAAACCCGAGACGAAGTCGAGGGTTTGCATAACTGTCGAGAATTCTCCCAACGCCTCGAGTGTTTATATCAGGCTATGCAAACACAGGAACAAAGTTTTCTATTGCTTTTATAAAATAACTTTCCCGAGAAAAAAACGCAAAACTCTATGTATGTCTCTGATTAAAAGAAAAATTCTTACCAGTCGCAAAATCTTGTCCACGAAGTCTTGCACGCGTAATCAGTTCTTGTTTTGCAAAAAGATGCTTTGCAAAATACGGATTTTTCTCGCTTAAAACGGTCAGCTTAAGCGAAGAAAAATGTACACACCTTCTTTGTAACGATTTTCCAAGTTTCAGCCGACGAAGGAATGGGTAAATAAAGTAAACTTTTTGAGTTTTGAACTCGAAAACTTTTTCAAATTTGTGCTTGCGTGATTAGCGCGCGAAAAACCAAACAACTTGAGCCCACAACCATGTTTACATACTCTCATGCAAACACTCCTCTCGGCCAATCAGAGCTCGCGTACTATCTTAGTTATTTTATAAAAAAGAATGGTGAAAAAATTGTGTGCAATTTGAACATTTCTGTTAAGGACAACAGCCTACAGGCCTAGGCTAAACACAGTTTATTTACGTTTTACAAGTAGCCACGGTCGATCAGTTTACCAACAAGGCAAGACATGTGTGCTTACGTTTAAGATCCCCAGCAGCGGTTCCTGTGTCACCTTTTTTTTTCGTCGAAGGCAACGAAACATCTTCTAAAAAAGTCAGATCTTGATGCGTATAAGGCACCGGCTTCTGCTTCACCATTTTTGTCCACCGAAGGCGACGAAACGCCTTCTAAAAAACGACACATCTTGATGAGTGCTGTCACGTTTTCTACGAATGGCCTCTGAATGCAGTACTTCACAAAATACTGAGCGGGTTATAAGCTTACTAACAAAAAGAGAACGTCTTATGTCTACCATGTCGAGTTTCCTCACATTTTAAAAGAACTGGAGACGAAGGCTGTTCAGTTCCTCGGTAGGGATTGTATTTTTTTCTTTCACGGATTTTCACCATCACCATCTCTATCACACAACTTCAGGTCTGTCTTCATCTTCTCTGTTGTATCTTTAGCATCAAGTTTGTGTGCTCTCTCTCTAATAAATGTCGACCTGATTTCATTGTTGTTCAGACCACTTTACTCTAGAAAATCGGTTTATTTGAGCTTTTAATTTGGCTCCTATTGCGTTATTTTCTACCGAAGACGATGCATTTTCAACCACTTGCGACGTTTTTGCGGGATTAAAACCGGTCTTCTGGAGTACAAATACCGTGAGATATTTCAATTTGTACTCGTTTTTAGCGTTATTTGTACTCTACTGAAGGCAGTTGAATAATAATTACATCTAGTATTTGAGGAAATTTCTCCGCAAGAGCTAAACAAATGCTTTCAAAAGTTTTATTTGTCGGCAAGTAAAAGCAACGACCAGGGCCGTTCGGTCATCGTGCGTTAAAATTGTAATCGTTGGCAACAGTAAATGAGTTAAAAATCATCATTTTTGTGCTCAATTATCTCACTGTTTTAGTATATACTGAAACAATTATTCACCTCAGTGTCGGTGGCTAGTGGTGGATATTTAAGTCGCCGCTAACGCGGCCTCGGTAAATATCAACCATTAGCCACCTCCACTTCAGTTAATAATTGTTATGTATTTATCATCTTAATTACTTTGATAACAGGTTAAAAAGTTTGAAAAAAGAAATAAACATGGCCGAGCAGAAGTCTGAAGAACGCAAGCAAAAGAAAGAAGAAATAAAAAATGTTTCTGCTACAAAACCCAAGAGGCTTAGTAGATATCAGTATCCTTTGACTTTGAAAGTGAGGAAGAGATTATGTTGGGCCTAGCGAGAAGATGCACTGACTCAATCAAATAGAATTTTAAGGAATGATTTTGTTTTATATGTTTCATGTTTAAAAAGCTGTCCTTTTGCGACCGATCTGGGTGGTCTAACGTGTAAGTTGTCGTATTAAGTTTGAAACTTGACTTTAGTGTAAGGTATGAAGCACCGAATATTGAACTTCAACTTAGTGGAGAGATCACTGGAAGCCTACGCACTCTTAAGGTTGGTGGGCCTGTGGCTGTTGTTAATTTCTGAATTGTCGTTCAGTTTAGCTGCCACAACTTCGTACATCTCAATGACACTGGCAGTTCGGAAATGCTTTTGAAATCCGTCACATCATTTCTTTTGTCTTTTAACAGCAAGAAGGAAATTTATTTGAAGACAGATTTAAGAGTATTCAGCGGCGAAACATCATTGAAACGAGGCAACCTGCGAAGTAAGTCTACTCCCTCACTCATTAGCCCGCAAGTAAGCTCTCCATTTGGCCACGCGAGAGCCGCACTCGAAAGGAGACCTGAGTGCGTGGGGCGGGGAAAGAGCCTCTCGCTGCTTGCTTCGCTCGCCATAATTGGAGGGCTTACTTGCAGGCTACTCATTCATTATTTTGTTGTTATTGATTCGTTTAAAGTGAAGGATAATTCTCCTTGTGCACGAGCACTTAAAATTCACTTTATTTTAAACTTTTGCTTGCAAATGAAGTGTTAACTGCTTGTGCAGCTTAATTTGGTTAATATAACAGATATCTAAAATTGTGTTTTTTCCGTTAACTTTTCAGGCGTCGTCGAAAATACAAGCAAAAAACGTACACAAGAAAATCTTACAATCAGCCGTGTATAAAGGAAGTATAGAAATGTCAGGTAAGACTTCCTTTTGTCGGCTCTGAAGGCAGTGTTATTGCAGTGCTTTCGCTTGGCATTGTTTGATACTTCAGTGGTGTAGTTATGTGAATTTGATTGTGAACAGCTACCTCCGGGGTGCTTACCATTTACACAAACCAGCCGAGGGGAAATCTTGTACACTGATATTCGTACATAAAACTGTAAAATTTGACAAAGCGGCGGAACGACTGGGTACAAAGTTAGTCTATCCAATTCAGTAGAACATATTAGGAAAATTGCATCGCCTCAAATCACAGCGCATATTTTCCGAAGACTCCCAAACGGAATAGCGAAACGTTTGATTTTTCAACTGGAATTGCCTGTTTCCCATCTTAATGGTAAGCACCCCTGGTCTTCACTTTGTAGTGATGTGTTTGGTTGGTTCATTACTGTTTTAGAACAACGTAGAGGTTTAGAAATTTAGAATGATGTCGTGATGGGTGACTAGAACGAAACATCATCATCATCATAATTTGAGTGATAAAGCAGGTTGTATGTACAAGGCCCCTTGAAAGCTGATAAGGTCCTGCTACAGTCATAAACACACATAGACGCACTTTTGTTTTCTAAGGTTGACCACACTAGTGGGGTCTGTGGGTTCTTATTCGTTCCACAAGAATCAAACCAGTGAAAAAGCGTTGAGAAGGGGCACAGGGAGCGCTTACCATTTGTATGGAAAACCCGGAAATCCCCGGAAGAATTCCTTTTTCCCGTTTTTACCGAAACGACCGAAATTTTCTGTACCATTTGTTTGGATTACTAGTGCCAGGCTTCATGTTGGTATTTTGTAAATGGTACAAGTCAATCCCGTTCCCGTTTTCGGTGCCCAAAAAAATACCAATACCATTTGACGGAAATTTTTCACCGAAATTTTGGTACAAATAGTAAGCGCTCAGGGTTTTCCTTCCATCTTAGAGACTGAAAAGTCTTACCATGTGTAGATGTAGCACATACTCCTCCGTTCTTTTTAAACACTGAGTGTTGGTGCGGCCAGGGTTTGAACCCGCAATCTCCCGCTCGGCAAACTGGTGCTTATTCGATTGAGCTAACAGGGCGGCGGTTACAAACCGTGCGAGGAGCGAGAAATATAGGCGAGGTCAGGTGGACTGGAATTTGTTGATGTCGCGGTTTTGTCAATGACGGTCATTTTAAGTTGTTAAAGTGCTCATAACTTGACAATATGAATATGTATGTTTTGTTACAGTTATAATCTGCCATGAACTGTTATCAGTAAGCATTAGCTACACAATGAGGTGATTCAGATTGAAAGTGAAAAGCTGTCAGTGGATCTGGTGGTATGACATGATCGTAAAAAATACAACACGAGTTGATTTTTTCCGTCAGGATAGTCCGCCACCCTGCTGATGGCCGTTGGAGGTACATCTTGCAAATTGATCCAGCTCCAAATTTTTCATGTAACGCTCAATAAGGAGATTTAGAGTCAGGGGGATTCTCGATCTAAGTCCAGAGAAGCCAAACAAGGGCGTCACGTTGGTAATACTTCAAATTTTAAGCTTTAACATCTCTATTTAGGGACAATTTTAAACTCGGAATGCGACGGTTTTTTTGAGCCAACTGAGGACACGTGGAGTGTATTCTTGATGTTGGTTTCTAATAATGTTTGAACGATTAAATGTTTTGTTTAATTGCGTCTATAAATACAATTCATTTTGTTTTATTGCTTTCTTAAATATAAATAGCGAGAGACTAAGAAAACTATATTTATATCAACACTGTTATCTTAATGTACCAATTTTAATGTGAAAACCAATTAAAATACGTTGCGGTTTTACGCGCTGATATTTCAAATAGTTTGGAGAATTTGAAATTTCTGATTCTTTCTGAAGTTTTCTTTATAAAATAAATGTTTTACCTTGTCAGCAAAATCTAAGCTCGAGTTAAAATTTTGTATTTCGTAAAGAATGTATGAAAAGATAATTAAAGTTTTGAAAATGTGGTTATTATGCACTGAGAGAATTTCAAGTCCTGAATTTTTTGATGTAACAAAGAAATCCTAACCTGATTATTGAACAGGAATTTATAAATGTAACTTAAGGTGATAACCTGTAATTAACTTGATCTCCTGCTGTGTATAGGTTAATTAGTTCTCTACTTTAACATTCTTCTAATATATGTAAAATTATATATACGTGCTCGATTTCGGCTCGATAATTCGAAGTTTTTCCAACTCAGGGAGAGCGAAAAACACATATTAAAAAAAGCAAAACAGGGTTATGAGTGCATTGAAGTCATGCATTCTCACTTGCTTCTGCAAAGGTTTTTACCATCTGACCCATGAAACAGCTAGGAGCAGGTCATTTTGTGAGTTTAAGACACGCAAAGAGTGAAGCTATGAAAGTGAGGTAGTTCTAGAGCAGTTCAATTGTCCAATCAAAATACTTATATATGGCATTGGCATTACTGATACCGGCCAGGTGAGAGATATTATCAAGAGATTTTATCTATTCCCGAGAAACCCTTTAAAAGCTGCTGTTACTCGAAGGTGCGTAAAAACAGTCCCCTGCTATTCGTCGTTTTCACAGATCATACCGGTTCACAAGAAAACATACGTCTACAAAAATATGTTGAAACTAGAGTATATTGAAATGCTTACTAATCAACTTGTTTATACTATACCTTGTCTAATCAATAATGATTTTATCAGTGTGAAGTATACATAATAATGTGGAGAAAGCTTTGATTGGTACAGGCATCATGAAAGAGGAGCCATAGTTACACAGCACGCCGCATTGTATTTAGCAAGGACAAATATGATTCAGTTCGGCATTCTTTGATCGGGTTATTTAGTGGTATTTCCCGTCATTAAATTGTCATTTTCCCCGCTTTTTTCCTGAGAACAGGAAGCATTTCCACGTTGTGCAGTTGTCTAATCTTTTCTGGAATCTTTTAAAAATGGGGGACGGTGCAAAATCATCAGGCGAGTGGACAAATGAAAGAATTTCTATGTCTCATTTAGGGAGTTTCTCTAGAAGCAGTAATTATGTTCGTAGCCTGGTTCGACAGCAGTTTCAGAATCAGAGTGATCAGCCGAATACAGCTTGGGAGAGACTTCGTGAAAGGCTGGGAAAAAATTCCTCTTTTGAGTACGAGGAAGAAACACCGAGCTTTGTCAAGAAAAAAGCGAGTGACGTTCCCAGTGAAGAAAACAGCGATGACAGCGAAGAGGAGGGTGATGATGAGGAAACTGCGAACTTTAGTAACAAGACATCGAGCAAAGAAAGCGCGAAGACGCCACCGTCAGAGGGACAGACGTCTGCGTCGTCCTCGCGTCGTTCATCAGCGCCTCAGACACCAGGTGAGAGCAGGGATACGGGACGGCGCTACACGCTACCTTCCAGAGACGCCCATTCGAAGATCTTGAATCGGCGGTTATCCTTGGCTGAGAGTGTCATCAAAAATTACGGCAAATATATTCGAACCCCAGACGAGTCCCAAGCAGAGCGAACAACTTTAGCCAAAACTGAAAAAGATATTCCGCTCAAGGAGAGTAAACAGGAACAAGTAAATAAACAACCTATTGAAGCCATTTCGGAAGAAGAACATACTACGCGCTTGAATATCCAGCCCATCGTTGCAATTTCGGAAAGTGAATGTTCGCCTGTCGGGAATACCGAGATTGTGAATCGTGATACCCCCTCCATGATTCCAGCCAGTAATTTCCTGAATATCCCTGCTGTCTGCCCTCTTGGATCGTCCTACACAGTGCCGCCAAGCCCGGCCACTAAACCCAATGGCGCGTTTTTTGACGCTTCTGTTCGTCGGAAATCCTTTAGTGGTGAAGAATTGTCACTGACCAGGAGTGTAACAGACGTTACTTCAGTTTCCACAAAGGACAAAGTTGTCGCGGATAAAGTAAAACTTCCCAGGTTATCGGCTGCGCAGACAAGTAAAGCTGAGAAGAAAAAGCTTTCTCCGAAGAGCAGGGAAGAAGCCATCCAGAGACTACGAGGTGACTACGAAACTTTGGCCAAAAACAAACGGCTAAGACGCGTTGGTCGGAAAAAGGGAACGGTATATGAACAGCTGCAACGAGACCGAGAACGGCGTGTCAGAGAGGCACAAACGTTTTACCATGAAATGGATCAAATTACCAAATCACTGAAAGCTATCAACAATCGGTTAGATGAGAGAATTAAGGTTCTCAATTGTAATGAACCACATAAAGTTAGGTATCAACGAATCTTACAAATTGCTTTTGCCGGGCTTCCTTTCAAGAAACTATAACTTCAGCTAAAGACAACTCTCAGGCTGTTTATGTTTAGTAAGCTCCATATGTGGGCAAAAGATGAACAGTAAGATATAAAATCATTGGATTATGTGCACTGCAAAACTGGAGGGATCAAAGATCAAAGAACCGGGATTTATTCTGAAAGATATTTGGGCCTTTGACGAGATTAAATTATTAACGAGCTGCCTCCTCCCAACCAAAAGTATCCATGTCTTAATGTGATATATGTAAAATAATTTTTTTGACTGGCGTAAACGCTTGTTGTGTAGACTATAATGTTTTGAGCTCCGATGAAAAGACTGGAAAAATTGTTGAAATATCTTTTAAATTCAGATTTGCTATCAGTTCAACAACTATCTTACTATTTTACAACATCATGATATTTTGACAATTATTTAGAAAAATCATTAACAGCTTCTAAATTATACTTAGCTCTGTGGGTAAGACAAGTTAACCCAATTATCTCTCATTCGCAAAACTAGAACAAAAATATGTTTTTTCTTTTAAGCAAAGTGTGTGGTATTTTGTTGGAATAATATTTTCATTTTTGTTTAACGGTCAACAACAATGAAAGAGTACCTTTTGTATTTACTGAATAAGATTGTTTTCTTTATTTATTGTTTCAAAAAGTATGAAATTCCAAGATGGCCATTATCTCACTCAGTAAGACCCTACTTTAACTATTAAATTAAAATATTGTATGAAAATAAGAAAAGCCTTTGGAGATAATAACTTTGTTTTGTACATTAAAACTTAAGATGATCAAGTAACCATTTCGGTTTTCTTTTTACCATATGTGTATATGATACGCTGTCGATTGAGATTTATGAATTTTTAATAATCCGTTTGTTCAAAAATTGATCTCAAGTCGACCAGTAGCATCAACAGCAAGATTTTTAAAACAGAATGAACTTGTAAGTGTAACTTTGACGTCGAAATGTAATAAACTCTTCATACGACTAATAGGAAAAATGATCTTTAATCATTAGCAACGATCAGTGTATTGGCAACTTCATTAATGACTCATCGAACACTTGCGTGGTGAATATCATTGAATTAGCATTTAATCATTAATAATAATAATAATAATAATAATAATAATAATAATGATGATGACAATAATAATTATAATAATAATAATAATAATAATAGTAATCTTTTACAAGTACCAAGGAGGATTGACTATAATGTATTTGACAGGTTATTAAACTCGAGACGTTCTTTCTAACTGAGGGATCTGTTCATATTGCGCGGTTGCGCAAGGAAGATACCCGTTCGATGAGCATGGATAGATAATATCTTCACCCCAGTGGTTCTTAGGCCGTGTTTCTGTTAAGTCCTCTGATGAAGGATTAGTTCTTTGAGTCACATTTACAGGTGAGTAACCAGCACTAACACCGATTTTCCGCGACCTTTTACCTCCCTGGATAAATTGTTGATTATTAACATCAAGGGCGTCTCCCAACTCCTCGTCTTTGTCAAACTCTCCGTTTGTGCACGCTTCTACTTCATTATCGTTGATCAGCGGCTGGCATTCGGCCACACGTTCCTTCATACAACCTGTACTCAATCGACCACGTTGTTCTTGTATTACTTTGGAAGTTGTAGAAGCATTGCAAGGCGTGAATGCACTGTGCCGCCGCTTGGGTGTTTTTGATTCTTGGTCATCGTCACACAAGTCTTTACAGCCTGCTGGACCTTGGCAGTTGCTTGGCAACGCGTTTCTAGCAAGGCTGTATTCCATAATGGAATAAGCAGAAACAGCTCGACAAACAACTGGCACTGGTGTAACTGGTAACTTAGTTCCTACCTCATTCAAACCGTTATCATTTGGCAAAACGTTATGAGCTGAATTCTCCGTTCCGTTGTAATTTTGAAAGTTTAATGTCTTTGCACTTGTTTCAAGACAGTCGTTACTCGAGCTGGTAGGTGATGTCATTTCCCTTTGCGTGTCGTCTGCATTACGTACCATTCCGGACAAACTATTTGCACTTTCGATATTAGGGTCACTTTTACTTAAATTTTCCCCTTCTTCACTTCCTTCTTGTGGAAAGCCGGTTGATGTATTTAAGTTTTCGCTTGTCTCAAGATTCTTCTCAGAGATGTCGTTTGAAGATTTCCCGCGAAACACTGCAGAAAGACCGTCATATCCATTACTATCTCTTCTCTTCCCATGGTACTCTACAGGCACGCTTAAAGTCACTTGTGGAAGGCTGCTTGTAAAATTCCCATCGCTCTCTGTCTGTATAAGGGTTCCACCAATCCCATCTGCATTTGCGGTTGTCCCTTGTGTTCCATCACTTCCTGGGTTCCTCAAACTTGAACACGAACACGTCATGCGAGAATTTAACGAGCAAAGACTTTGTACGCTGGCCTGGTCTGAAAGAAGGATTATGGGTCCTTTGCCACTCAGAGCATTACAAAGTTCGTTGTATCCCCGCGGTAAAGCATTCAGACTGGACGCCGTAGACGCGCTTTTGAGGCTAAAAGACGCTGGTGACACGGCTCCCCGTCGGAGGTGAAGTGGGTAGAGTGATTTATTTAATAATGGGGTCCTGTGGGTTTCCTTCTTTGACTCGCCTTTGTCTTCTCCAGGAACATAAAGAAATGCATTTTCTCCTGTCGTTTGAGGACCTGTCAAGTAATAGCAATCTGTTAAGATCACGTTCGGAAGGTTATAGGAGGGCATTTACGGGCTGATGTGAAAGTAATTAGTGCAAAAGAGAGGCAAAACTGAAGAATTGAAGGATTTAAACAATTTATGTTTAACCCATTCGCTCGTGGAGATTTTGCCGAGAAACGCGTTTTGAAGCTGGTCGAGTGGTTTTCTGGTCACTGTCGTGCTCTACAGAGCTAAAACTTACCACAAACCGGTTTACAGGTCATACACTTAACAGCCTTCTGATCCAGATGCAAAATATCAGCTTGCGAAGTTCGGGCATGCGCAGAAAGCAAAATTTGTTTTTTTTGTTTAAAAGTGACCCAGCAGTCTTGACTTTTACTTTTCGCTTTCTCTCCTCCCCTCTTTTTTCACTTTTCTTGCCTCATTTTTTTTCTCTTGCTGGGCATTTAGTAGGCTTCATTTTGGTGGGAAGAGTTTTTAGGAAAGCTTTTAGGATCTTAGGATTAGGTGAAATGAAAGGTAGGTGGGCAATGGAACAAGATTTTCATGGGGATTTTGAGGTCAATGTTACAGGGTTTTTTGCCTCTTTCTCCGGTGTCCTTGACTGAATTGTGCTCATTCTGGTATGGTTTGAAAGATCTCTTCACTCTGCACAAGTTAGCGGACAAAGTTGTCCTTGACCGTTAAAACTGATGACGTCACAAGGGGTAGAAAGGACGTGGATCGTCACGGGCGGTTACGGGCGGTTCAGGGGCAAATGGGTTAAAAGTGTTAAAAGGTCAATTCCGTGGCGCCTGTGACATTTTTCTCTGGCAGTGAAACCCCAAAGAGTGAACCGTTTTATAAAGCAGCCATAAAAGTATAGACATAAAAAAACTGAACACCCGACCAAAATGTTGTGGACCTACGATCTGAACTCGCAAATTCGGCTACAGTCCAGGTCATAATTTGTTGAAATACTTCCGGAAAACACAACATAACTAACTGGTTTCACGAATACATGTATCGCTTCCCTCTCCTGGCCCTGAACATCACATCGAAGGAGAAGGAGGGCAAGAATTAGCAGTCCTTTAACAATTATGACCGGGATCGATTGTAGGTATCTATTTCGACAAATAGGTAAGGTGTTGTTTCATTTCATTTCTGGGGGCTCTTCTAATTTCTCGGCCTGTCTGTAACACCAGAGAATTGTTCAATATCACGGACCGGAGCAGAACCATACCCTTTCTGACTAACACTTATCATTCAAGATCTTACCTTCTCTTTGGTCTCTTGCTATGTCGATGGCTGATGGAGATTTAGATGGTGGATCAAACTTTAGCGTTATCCTGTCTGTTGACCTTTCCCTCTGAGGCTGGTGATCCGAAAACACCGAATTTAAGGACTTACTGCGACTTGCAGTGGATCGCTTCAAAGGTCTAAGCATCCTCGACATTGAACGCAAAGACAAGAAGGAGGACTTCTTCAGACTGCCTCTTGGAGTCATAGTGCAGCTTATAGAGACCTCCGAGGCAGGATAACTACGATCTGTCTGTCTCTCGCTGCACAGAGACATAAATTTGTACTCATAAACTTCATCTTCTTTGGCACACTGTGTTCTTTGAGTGTTCATGGACGTGAGAGCATGGGAAAAAGCCACCCGCCTCTTCTTGGGGGGCAAGTTGAGCCTCGCTTTGGCGTATGTGTAGTAGAGGGAGAAGTTACTGGCGACCACGGACACTGGTAAAGCAATGACAAGCACTCCACAAACAGCGCATGCGCTGCCAACGGTCTTTCCAATCCATGTACGAGGATGAACCTCACCATATCCAACCTATGGTAATAATTGCATCAGTTTTTTGTCACTGTAGGCGTCAAATGCCAAAACAATTTGTAAGAAAAATGATTGAGCTTTTATTTCGCACGTCATTAACCTGCTACATTAGCCCAGGCGGCAATTTTTCCGTTATTGTGGAAAGCGAAATGCTATATCTGAAGGAACAGTAAAGGCTGGATTACTGTTGGTTTCAGTTGAGATCATCATGTTACTCCATCTGTGGACCAGTTGTTTATGAATGAAGTTGAACCGTTAACCCTAATGAAAGTTACACTTATCTGGCTCCCAGGTGTTTCAAACGATTTATAAAATAACTACGATAGTACGCGCGTTCTGATTGGTTAAAAACCTATGGTTTATTGTGCCGGTAAACTCATAGAAAACTTAAAACTATTTTATAAAAGCAGTAGAACACACTTTCTGTGGGTTTACCGGCGTGATAACCCACGCGGGATGTTGGGAGAACACGAGAAAAGCTTGTAAATCACGAGCCGAAGGCAAGTGATTTACAAGCTTTTCGAGTTTAATTATTGCATAAATCGGCTCTATTTGTGAAATATAAACATGATCAACAAACTACAAGAATTCACAACGCAAGGGTAAAAGCACATGTAAAAAAACCAAAAGGGGGGTGCGAGTCCCTGAAGACTAACATGGGGCTTAGTTCCCACACGTCCGTAAACTAACAATGAAACAGAAAAAACTCTCAGAGCGGAACATCCTCCCGCCAGATGCATGGAGTGCATCAACAAATTGATCAATAATGTTCTCATCAAGCTCAATATTTGTCAATATTTCTTTGTTAGTTCAGTCAAATTCAGCAGCAAGATAAGCATCACAGGCGTCAAAAAGGTGTAACCGGATAAGACCATCACGACCTGGATGGTTGGAATCCACGCGCGCACGTTGCCACTGACCCCGAGCTAAGTGATCTTCGCTAACAAGGACCAAGTCACCTTTTTCACCAAGTATCTCGCGACCAACCGTAAACCATTTTTTGAGGGGTGTCAAAGACTTCAGGTACTCAGTATGCCAACGCTTCCAAAATCAATTGACAAGTCGTCGTTGATACTGAACACTTGGTGATAGTTCTAGAAGTGTGTTCCGTAACATGGGTGTCTTTAGCTGGGGACGCTTAAAGATTTCTCCCAATGAGAATCTAAGCTGGAGTAATCACGCTGTAGTCACCAGGGTCTGCACTTAGGCAAGTAAGAGGACGACTGTTCAGCGTGCCTCAATCCCAGCTAAAATGGTTGTCAGCTGTTCAAAGATTTTCTTTAGGGGTGTCTTGACACTGTTCATAAGATGGTCAATTTTGGGTGGGGTGGGTAGAGAAGTACTATTTGAAGGTGACTTAGAAGAAAGTCTGTTGTGCTGAACTCAAAACAGTCGAAGTTCATGAGAGGTTGTAACGACGTCTAAAAAGAGTCGTGAGAACTTACATTTTGCATTATCTGAGCAAATAATACTGCTTATTTCTCTTCTTGCCACCATTCGTGTCAAGGCAAGGAGAAATAGCTCAACAGTCATGTTGCTTACTAACTCCAGGTGTATTGCACGGGTAACTGCGCTGGTAAATAGACAGATGTAAGCCTTTTCACCTCTGTCTTTTAAATACAATGGACCAGCAAGTCCAAAGCAACATTGGTAAATGGCGGTGCAGGCTTGATCCTGTCTTCAGGAAGGGGTACCCTCTGCTGCATAAACGGCTTTGTGTGATAATGGCAACAAACTAGGCAGTTCTTTACTGTTTTGCGGACTGCTGATCTTCCTTTGATCAACCAAAATTTCTGTCGTAGGACTGATAAAGTATACTCGACGCCAGCATGGAGTTCACGGCAGTGAACATCTTCAGTTAGGAGCTTCACAACAGGATGGTTGGAAGGCAAGATAATGGGATGCTACTTCCCTTCCGGTAATGAAGACTTATGAGTTCTTCCTCCAACGCGAAGTAAGCCACTAGTAGGGCACAGAAATGGATTTAAATTTGCCAGCTTACTGTCCTTCAAGGGACCACCATGCCTAGCCAACGAAGCTAGTTCGTGAAAACTTGTGTTCTGTACATGGGCTATAAGCCACTCTTCTCCCTCTCGTATTTCTAATCCAGTTAAAGGAGTTGAAAGTCTCTCTTCTTTCAACTCATCGAGTTGGGAATGAATCTTTTGATCCATGCGACAGTTCTTAACAATCGACTGTATCTGCTGAACCTGGTGTAGTCAATAAACGGTTCTCTGGTTTGGACAACACAGCTGACAATAGCTTTACTCTTCCTCTCCACTTTGACTGCTTCATTTGGAGACTTTGATCTTAAATCCGTTGGTCAATCCTTTTCTACCTCTTGCAACTAAGAGGGCCCTTTCCACCACAACCGACTCTTTCCAAGCTTACTGACAGATAAGCCTCGGGTAGGTAGATCCGCTGGATTATGCGGCCATGGGCAATATCTCCTCTAACACTATGATCCATCAGTGACTGAATCTCAATGACACGGTTAGCAACAAATGGTTTCCACTGTGAGGCTGATCCTCTGATCCAGTGCAAGGTGGAAGAATTGTCTGTCCAACAGACAATGCAGCTAATAGGACAGTCGATTGCATCTTTATCATAGATTCACAGTCGACCAGTTATCACTGCAGCCATTAGCTCTTAGCGAGGGAGAGTAATCTTTCGAAGAAGAACAACTCTTGTGTTAGACATCACAACACTTGTAGACGCCTTCCCTTCTTTAGGAACAATTCTAATATAGATGGCGGTGGCATACGCAACTTCTGATGCATCACCAAATGCGTGTAACTCCACCTTTGCAAGCTGGCTTAAAGGCCAGTCAATGTAACTTCTTGGAATGTGAAGCTGTTCAAGCTCTGAAAGCTCTTGAACCCACTGAACCCACTTTCCTAGAGTAGCTCATCATCCCAACCAACACCCTGGGTCGACAGCGCTCTGAAGTTAAAGTTTTGACCTTACTGTAAAACGCGAGATGAGACCAATTGGATCGAAGATCTTCGCTGCTAAAGAAGCTTGCTCTCTCTAGGTTACAATGTCTCTGATTTCAATTTCAGAGTCCAATTCAATCATAAAGACAAAGCTGTCTGTTCTCGTATTCCACTTTAGACCCAAAGCTTTCGTAAATGGATGCATTCCCGGTAGGTTACTCTCCAATCTGATCAAACTATCTGATGCACCATCTTTCTCTGGGATGGCTTGCATAACCTCAGGCGAATCACTGGACCATTTTGTCAAATTGAAAGCTGCTTGTTCCATAAGCTGCTTTGAACTTCGCTGTAATCTCGCGGCTTCACGTACAGTATCTCTCCCTGAGGCAAAGTCGTCAACATAAGTGTTCCTCGGGATTTCATCTGATGCTTCAGGGAATGTTTCTTTACGTGTCCTTGCATGCTCCTGTGTAGCGCAGAAGGCAAGGAATGGACTAGAAATAACTCCAAACGTAACTCTTGTCATTCGATAAATCTTAGGTGTGGCATCGGGGTCCGAATCTCTCCACAGGTAACGATGCGGTCCCCATCTTCTTCTTTCAAGCTAATCTTCAAGAACATCTTTTCAATATCACCCATTAGCCCAAACTGATTTTTTTGAAGCGCAGAAGAATTCAGACCAAATCTGGGTGTAATGCAGGGTCCACTTCTGAGCAGCTGTTTAGAGACACAATTGAAATCTCTCGCAGATGCATCAAATACAACCCTTGTTTTAGTTGTCTGCTATCTTCTCTGATAACAGCATGATATGGAAGGAAAAGTAAAGGAAATTCTCTTTCGCAAAGTGTCCTTAGCAGATTTTCTTCCAAAACCTGAGACTGCGATTCCCACAGTCTTCCCGTCAAGGCCAAGGTCTTCAACCACACTCGGTTTGACAAAGGACGTTTGGGAACCGGGATCAAAGAAACATCTGACAACTTTTTTGCAACCATTGGATCCACAAAAAACAGCAGGAACAGTCTGCAGGATCACCTTTCCACGTGAGTTGACCGCAATGGAACTTGCTACTATGGAAGACAAAGAGGGAGGAGCTGCAGATGAGGATCTTGATTGAGAGGATTTTGACCTGGCTTCTTCTGGCTGAGACTTGACTGGTTCCAAGTGCAGGAGACTGTGATGTTTACCACGGCCATATTTACAGAGTGGTTTTTGACAAACTTCAGCTCTGTGACCAGTTTCAAGGCACCGAAAACACAGGCCTTTGGATACCACTTTTCTAAATCTTTCTTTGACTGGCAATGACAGGAAACTGACGCACGACCACACCCAGTGGTTTTACCAAAAACAATGCTCTCACGCCCTTAAGTCGTCGCGCACAAGGCAGAGGTAGAGTACCTTCGTGAAGGTTAGATTTAGAATGGCCAACTGTTTTCCTGTGCAGGGGACTTTGATTCAAGAGAGGGAGGCTGGGAAGACTCCTTAGCTCTTATTGACTCTTCTAAGAAGGCAAACAATGTTTTCACTTTCACATGGTCCTCTTTATGGTCACCAATTTCTAATTCCCACTTCTCCACAACCCCTTTCGGTAGCTTGTCAACAATGAAAGGTACAAGAACAGGCCCTAAAGTCTCGGAACTTAACTTCTCGCAGATTGATTCAGCAGAACGAACATACCCAACCACTTGATCATAAAATTTGCGCATGGACAATGCATCTTCATAATTCAAATGTGAACGGACAAATGACAAATGACAAATGAATTTGAACGTGACAAATGGATTAGGGACATCATGTGTGAAACAAGAATCAACCGCGGATGGCCAAATCGTTCCTTCAGAGACTCCAATACTGGCTGATAATTCTCTTGTATGATTGCAAACCCTTTAACCGCTTTGGCGGCCGAACTTTTCAATCATCTCATTAGGTATTCTAATTCCTGAACATCAGCTTAAGATGGATTATCCACCACTAAGAGTTTAATTGACTGATAATAAGACTGCCAGCATAAGACATCCCCATCTAAGGTTGGCAGATCAATCTTTGGAAGCTTCACTTGTACCTTGGGGCATAACGAAAACGGCGCTTGGGCTGCAGTTGAATTACTTCCCGCGTTTTCCTTACCGACATGTTTGCTTTCTAAGTAATGCATCATTTTCTCCGTGTATTCAATGGCATGCAATTCGTACTCGTTAGGACTCTCACATTCTTCATCAATCCCTTTCTCCTCTAATAGAGTACACACCGAGGCCTTTTCTTCTTGAAGATCGTTCCATTTATTTGCAATGTTGTCTTTTAAAACCTGAATTCCAGCATGGTTATCGGGGAGACAGAGTTTCGGGAGACAGAGTTTCGTCGATAGACTTTAAAGTGTCCGCCACAGACTTTCTAAGAAAACGTCTTTTCTTCTTAATAGCCCCCAGGTCATTCACCAATTTGATACACAATCTTCACTAACCTTGAATGACAGTTTGGTTCCTTACAACACTCCAAAATTTCTGCAAAGTTCACGAGAGATGATGGCGCCAATCGCCGCACTTCCAAGACCAATTTGACCAAATGCTTCACCACAAACGGAGGTTCAATTCTCAATTCTCCGGTGGTATCTTTAAATACTCACCGACACCGTATATCTGGCTACTGAGGGACCATGTTTCAAACGAATTATTGCATAATTCGGCTCTATTTGCGAAATATAAACATGATAAACAAACTACAAGAATTCACAACGCAAGGACAAAGGCGCATGTAAAAAACAAAAAACAAAAGGGAGGTCCGAGTCCGTGAAGACTAACTTAGGCCTTGTTCCCCACACGTCCGTAAACTAACAATAAAACAGAAAAACGTTCAATTAGGAACACCAGGTAACTTGCCTGGTGATAACGAAGGTCATTGTGTATCCTCGTACGCTATAATGAGGGGTGTCCCAGTTACGACCCGCGTGGAATGTCTCAAAGGCGTGGCGGTTTATGGTTTTGATGATATTTCTTTTAGAATTCCAATGAGCCAACGAAAAACTCTCGGGAAATTGTGACATATTCGATTATATGAAGGAATGCTTTTAATGCTTACCGTTGTCATTGTGATGACTGCCCACCACATGCTCTCGGGGACGCTTTTGAAGTCACTTGCAAACTCATCCTTTTCCAAAAAATATACAAACGAGGCAAATACTACCATAACAAATGCCATGATTATTAACAACAGGCAAAGCTCGCTGGAGCTCGCTTTTAGTGTGTTCACAAGAACCTGGAGAACATACGACAGTTTGAAGATCTGAAAAATTCGTGCTGCTTTGAGCATGACCAGCATCTCCAAAAAACGGACTTTCTCTAGGGACGGGTAGAAAAATAGCACGTATAATAAAACTAACGGTACGAGGTCGGTCCAAGTGTAGGGATTCTTGAAGAAAGCTTTTTTCTCGGGCGAGAATAGGAGCCTGAGAGCAAAGTCCATAGTGAACCATGATACACAGATGAGATGAATAACTAATAGGGCGATGTATCTAGGCGCAGTTTTGTCACTAAAATGGTCCAGTGTTGATAAAGCGAATTTGATTATATAGGCAGTGAAGACGACAAGTGAAATGATTCCCACCAACTGAAAAGAAAAAAAAGAAGAAAATTTAAGGCATTTGGCTTAACCATATGCGCTGTAATACAATTCTTTTTTTTTTAGCCTTTTAGTACCATATTCCTCCATAACAAAATTTATGGTGTAACATGCCAATTTAAATTCTGTAAAATGGTAAAAAGAGTAGCTAGAATCATAAGAAATTGGCTTCTACTGCTTCTTGAAAAGACGATTTACATTATGTTTTACCCGCAGACTCAGTAGCCTCAGTTTCAATTATGATACTTGAAGCCGGATTGTATCGACTTATTGAAATAATACAATCAGCTTGCAGGGCTAATACACACCAAGTGAGTGATCAGACTGTTGAATTTTCAATCTTACCTTTGCCCAGAATGATGTGTAAGGCTCCTCAAGGCTCTTCCAAACTCTGGGTTGATACCGAGACCACCAAGATGGTCCCTCGTCTACGTCCTCAAAAAGTCCTGAATCCCTGGACTGGAAGTCGTCGTCTGAGTCCTCTTCGTAACCAGGAAGTTTGAAATATTTTAGTTTCTCCTGCTTTTCTTTGTGTTGCTTGTAATTTTCCCAACAGCAGGTTTCTACCTATTGAAAGAACACGAATATCCCTTGAGAATGAATGATGGCACTTGATTTGCTTTTCAACAATCACCGGTTGATTTCACGGTATAATTCAGGGGCACTCAACCACGGTTTCCTCCTATATACATTGAAAACACTTTTTAGTCTGTCCAGAGTACTTTTAGATCTTTAGAAATACATTCTTATCCGCGCTATAAAATTTANCTCTTCCAAACTCTGGGTTGATACCGAGACCACCAAGATGGTCCCTCGTCTACGTCCTCAAAAAGTCCTGAATCCCTGGACTGGAAGTCGTCGTCTGAGTCCTCTTCGTAACCAGGAAGTTTGAAATATTTTAGTTTCTCCTGCTTTTCTTTGTGTTGCTTGTAATTTTCCCAACAGCAGGTTTCTACCTATTGAAAGAACACGAATATCCCTTGAGAATGAATGATGGCACTTGATTTGCTTTTCAACAATCACCGGTTGATTTCACGGTATAATTCAGGGGCACTCAACCACGGTTTCCTCCTATATACATTGAAAACACTTTTTAGTCTGTCCAGAGTACTTTTAGATCTTTAGAAATACATTCTTATCCGCGCTATAAAATTTATATCTGTTCGGTCATCAGGCTTCATTCGGGCTTCAGTAGTATTTCCCCGAAAATTTTAGATCCAATTTAAAGTTTTACGAAAGTGATAATTTTTTCTGATTCCTCTTTCCATCGCATTTTCGAATCCGAAAATTTTTAAGTTTCCTTTTTCTGCGAAAAATAGCTCAATGAGGGAAGTGACAAGCAAAAAATTAGACTTCAGAAAATCTTAGGGGATTTATTAGATACGCATCGAAAATTGTACTTGAATGGAACGGTCATCTAGAAACTCTTAGCCCCGTTCATACTGAGATCGCTTAAAAACGAGATCGATCTCAGATAGGTTCTGAGATCGGTTCTGAGATCGCATGAGGACCTGTTCACACTGACGCCTTCTAATAAGACAAATTATTCCTAACTAGGGAGGACTAAGCAGTTTGTTTACCCTCTGGCTTCGGGTGAGATGGGTTGTGTGACAGAATATTTTTTTTTAAATAAGAATCGGTTCATGTTTAGCGAGCGTATATCGAGTTATGGATGCATGCAGAAAGTTTGGAGAGCACGAAAGAAGCTTAAGAGTTACGCCTTGAGCGGCTCTAGCTTCTTGAGTGCTCTCCAAGTTTCCCAAGTGCACCACATAGCCAAGAAAAACACTTCAGTGCTTGTTGATCGTTAATTTAATTCTCGGAACGCACGGCACAGAAAAACAAGCGCTTCTGTTCGCTGGTTACAAACACGCCACGATAGTCTAGTTTGAAAGAAATTTTTTTTCTAAAACTGACAGTGAAAATTTGCTTATTTATTCGTTAACGAACAATGCAGCGGGAGCTAAGCAGAAACAAAGGTAAAAGAATCTTAAATACTCAAATGTTCGTAAAGGCATGGACGGGAACATGGTTTGGATTCGTTGAAAAGATGTTTATGTTAAGGCCCGGCAGGCGAAATCCAGAAAACTTTTTAGCGAAGACAGCTGTCATCCTTCGTTATATTCATTTACGAACAAGCAGTCTTACATGTACTGCCAGGTCATTAAGGCTTCTCGAGGGGACCTGGCAGCAGTTGTTCTTGTGACTTATAAATTTATGTCTTCTTGCACGTTGTTGCAAGAAAACGTTTCCTGGCTCAGCCGGATTGTTCGGTTATAAAAAAAGTGCATGATTTTTTGCTACTACTTTATAATTAACTTGTTTTCAAAAGGATAAACAAACGTTAAAAACAGAGGACGCTTTATACAAATTGGATTTTTCCTCGTCAACACAGACCAATTTGTGGTCTTTTTGCAGCTGAATGTCAGAAGTCTTTTCAACGACTCAGGCTCTATTATTTGCGAAGCATCCTCTAGCTTTTGCCGTTGGGTTTTAGTGGCTAGAAGCTCAATTCCAAAAATTAGAGAAAGTTCTTCATCATTGCCGTCGATTTGTGGCCACTTAGTTGAGAAAAAGAGACGAAAATCCGAGTTTGATTCTCTATTTTCCAATTCCCCATAATACACTCTGTTTGCCCCCCAAATTTTGCATAAACCATTGTTTTTAAATGCTCCTGGGAGTATTGCATTTTCCCAAGACAATAAGTTATGCAAAATTTGGGGGGCAGACAGAGTGTATTATGGGGAATTGGAAAATAGTCAATAGTTAAAGCTTTTAGATGTTTCGCGGACTTTTTTCAGCACTGCTTCCAGTCACGTTCAGGAAAGCCCCTGTTTCTTCACAGCTTTTGCAATGTCCGCATAAACGTCTGGGTTTCGGTGACTTTTGTCTATTTTATTGTGAGTCCGACGTTTATCCCAAGCAGCAATAAGAGCTCTTGTCTCCACCGTTCTCCTTTTTTGCGGACTTTTTTTTTGCAACTTGCAAAACCAATACTCCTCACGTGCGATTGGCTTAAGTGACTCTCAATGAGGGAAGGCTACTAAGCTGGATCGCTTTCAGGGCGTGTTTGCGTTCTCACTCAGCCCGGAACAATGTAGATCGATCTTGGACCGATCTCAGACCACCTCCTGAAGCGATCCAGGTTGGATCGATCCCAGATCGATCTCAAGAAAGTGCGAACGTTTACATTCAGCTCGTATAAAGGCCAGATCGATCTGAGATCGATCTAGCCCCTAAGTGTGANCTCTATTTTCCAATTCCCCATAATACACTCTGTTTGCCCCCCAAATTTTGCATAAACCATTGTTTTTAAATGCTCCTGGGAGTATTGCATTTTCCCAAGACAATAAGTTATGCAAAATTTGGGGGGCAGACAGAGTGTATTATGGGGAATTGGAAAATAGTCAATAGTTAAAGCTTTTAGATGTTTCGCGGACTTTTTTCAGCACTGCTTCCAGTCACGTTCAGGAAAGCCCCTGTTTCTTCACAGCTTTTGCAATGTCCGCATAAACGTCTGGGTTTCGGTGACTTTTGTCTATTTTATTGTGAGTCCGACGTTTATCCCAAGCAGCAATAAGAGCTCTTGTCTCCACCGTTCTCCTTTTTTGCGGACTTTTTTTTTGCAACTTGCAAAACCAATACTCCTCACGTGCGATTGGCTTAAGTGACTCTCAATGAGGGAAGGCTACTAAGCTGGATCGCTTTCAGGGCGTGTTTGCGTTCTCACTCAGCCCGGAACAATGTAGATCGATCTTGGACCGATCTCAGACCACCTCCTGAAGCGATCCAGGTTGGATCGATCCCAGATCGATCTCAAGAAAGTGCGAACGTTTACATTCAGCTCGTATAAAGGCCAGATCGATCTGAGATCGATCTAGCCCCTAAGTGTGAACGGGGCCTTGTTCTTCAAGGTATAGAAAATTCTAGGCAATATTCGCTTCTCCGAACAGTTATTTTACAGGAAACTGTCGTTGGGTGCCCCTGATGAATTTGGAAGCTTTTAGAAATCATGCTTTGATATTTCCGCTAGTGGGTAACGAAGCTGATTTACGGCAGATTAAAACAGAAGACCACAACGTGCCACTTGCTATGCAACATCTCCGAAAAAACGAGTTGAATAGCGATGTTGCACGTTTCACTACTTGTGTTGCAACAAATCAAGTCATTTTGGGTGGCAAAATTTTCGACTCCCTTTGCAGCAATCTTGCAAAACAAGTTGCACGATTTTTGCTGCCCGTTTTACCGTACAACTTTAAAAACGCCAAGCTTTTTAAAATATATAACCACCCTCCTTGGTTATGTTATTACGTCTCATTTGAAGTTAGAAAAATTAAGCCATGATGGGGGCTCTCATTACACGCGGCTAAGCCCCAGTGATTAAGTTTCTCGTGAGCAGCAAAATAACAAACGAAACTTACGATCAAATAGGCGGTGAAAATACAAACAATCACCTGTAAAGCGAAATATGTTATTTTTTAAAATTAAAATTGTGTTTCTACGAAATGGGATTTTAAGTTAACCATGCCTCATATTTGTCAATAGATAACATTTTTACGATGTCCTCTTTATTGTACTGCGAACGTTCAGGCTTTGTAATGAACCGGCGCGTTTTGCGCTCGCTTGTGATAATGCGTAATTTTACTTAAATTTGCAGCTCTAAGTGCTTGACTGCTGTGTGCAAAATACGCCATTAATATATAATGAGAGGAATTCAATTCCCTGTAGTAGTTTTACTTTTCCTTAAAGTTTTCAAAAATGGATATATAAGTTTTTAACTGTTAAGGGCCCATACGAATGTAAATGAAAGTAGGAAAAAACGAAAGAAGAACGAAACGACCGAACAGCAAGGTGTGTAAGTGAGACTAATGTTTTTATGAATGTTTACTTGCTCAATACGTGATCATCTAAGCATCAAATTTCTATCACAAACTTGAGCGACACCTTATCATATTAGATATCGATCGATGGACAAGGTTTTTTTTTCGCACAGATAATTGAAAATCCTTATGTTTACACTTTTCCTTTAGAAAACCACATTATTTGCCCTAATGATAGAGGTTGTTTGTTGTCCTTATGTTTTCATGCTTTAATATTGTCCAGGTGAACGTTTTGCGTTGAAATATTTTTGTCACAGGGCATGCACCATAGATATTTTGTGTGTGTCTGCGCGTGTTTATGAAACACTTCCGCATGTAGAGTGCAACTTTCCTTTCTCCCGATTTCGTGCTGTTATTCTGGTGCAAATAAAGAAAAAGGTGGATTTTGTGCAAGTGTTTACAACACATGAGCAATTCTTTCCTTCTCTGTGGTGCTTATTCAAGGAAGAATTAAACAAATTTTCATCTATTTTTACTGATAAAATTGACTATCTTACTATATCTCACTGCTTGTCAATAATTCCTATCATAAATTAACGCCATGCTTAGGCTTCAGTCTGATTTGCATGCAAAACAACAGATTAATTCAAAATAATAAATATTATGGCAGGCAGTTTAGGGCAAATTCCTTATCAGAATCGAGATCACGTCTTAGCCTGTAAGCCTTGTGCTGAAACATGATTTTCTTTCGAGGTTAGCAAATATAACTGAAGTTTTAAGCTTTTACCTGTGAACACTCGGAAACGTAGGAAGATAATGGCTTTCTTATATAGCACCTGTTTATATGTTAGCATATCTTGCTTGGAAATTAAAGTTGGTTATGAATATCGATCGTCTGTAAAATACATACATTTAATATCTGCACATTCAAATATCGATTCCTGTGTTAAAAAAGGGTTTGAAGAAGGGAAACGAAATGGTAGATATTCTGATCCATGCTTTGACTAACTTACTCTTGACTGCTACTGTAGTTGTTCGAGCTTTAAGGCGAAAAAGATCAAAGAGGATTACAGCATAACCAGATTACATCCCTAGATTGTATTTTAAAGTCAATTTTTACAACATTTTCATTAATGGCTCTGTGAATAAAAAACACAAAATTAATGTTCAGCCAAAATGAGTATATTTTTGGTTTGAGACAATAGTCAGCTCGCATGGTTTTCTAACCGGCGAAGTTGGAGTTTTTATTCGTTGGTTGTTTCAAGAAAGAGATTGTTCGCCGCCGAAAGCGAATATTTTTTAAGAAGCGTTTTTCAATTGATTACTATTTTTTATGGAGCTCCTTAAGGATCTTTGTTAAAATTCTGTAAGAATAGCAATCATAATGAAAAATACGATGAAAGAGATGCAAGTTTTATTAGGTCAAGTTTGGTTTGCGCACGTTATAAGACGAAGTGTACAGCTATCATTATCGCGCTGACACTAAGCGACGAATTGTCGATTTGCAGCCGTGTGAGCCGCTATTGTCAAAGTAAATTAAAATGCTTTCTTCTGTGTCTATTTACTTGTAGAAGACAATGTAGAAACTCGCAACCGCTTAATGACTTCTGAACAGATTTTGTTTCTCGAGCCTTAACGTTTATTCGGTGTCAGCTTAATACGTATTTGTCCTTTGATTGAAGTTTTTTCAATTGTTACCAACCGCAAAGACACGCAAAAACGACGATCTTTTCCTATTATATCCAGGCACTGATTTCAAAACGTTCCGTTGTGTAGACTTAATTCTTTTGCTATTCTAGTTAAATTTTTTTCACTTCTCTGCAAATAACATTTCATGTTTGTCTATCGCTTTACCTCATTTCATTTTTAAGGAGATCGATTTATCAACCTTTGAAATGAATGTAAACATGTTAGCAAAACCATTTTAAGAGCTATATTGTCGAAACGCGACGGGAAGGAACAGACGCTCGGGCCAAAAAATATAAGTTCGATGAATATAAAATAATTGAACCTGGACAGAAATCATTGGCGCGCGCGTGAGTCAGTCATATTTTCATTTCACGGGTAGAGCACATTTATTAAAATATTTATCAAATCTCTCGTGTTTGTTTTTATACCTTATGTGACCTCGATGAAGTTTTTTTCGTTTCTTAATTTTAACTTTATACGGTTACGTTCTAACAGATGCAAGTAGTTTCTGAAACCTTCGTTTTTAGGTTTATTATTATTCAGCACCTCTGTTGTGGAACGAAAATTTGATCTGCTCGGGACCTTAATACAACATAAACATGGGTTCTAGCATAAACTGTGTTAAGTTTCGTTTCGCTTTGTACCAGTGCATGTGCTTGCATCTCACTAAAGAGAGGAGTGTAACTGTTACTAGTAGCGTTACCTGTTGTTCATCAATGCCCCAAAATCCTAACTCTTCTTCAAATAGTGGCCCGCAGACATCTGACGGACAATGCAGCCTTCCCGTGCGATAAAAATTCAATATCTGCGCGAAGACTCCTGGATGCCTATCGAAGAAATACTCTCCTTTCGATGCGTCATACTCGGGGGATCTCGCCACTGTCGTGTGATGCTCCCCAAGATAAGAAAGACGTGTATCTGGGATTGTTTTCAGTGTGCTTAAGAAGGTTTCATGCCGCACACCTCCGACATTCAGCACAATGCGGTTTGAGCGCTTCTTTTCTTTACCAGAAGGCATGCTTTAGAGAAGCTTCCAAACCTGCGAAACAAGATAAGCCAGATGACCAGTTATTGAAGCCCCAGACGGTTCAGTAGATAATATAAAAAAATTGCTATCGCGTCTCTGACTGACGCTATTTCCTCGTGGGTTAGAGTTTTTTTTTACTCACTTTATGTATGTGCAATGTTTCTTAACAATTCGTCTTATATGAGGCTGTGCTTTGAGTAGAAACGAACGGGAGAAGAACGTCATTTATAGCTGAATTGTTTATACCGTGTGTTTCTGTACGTAAAGAGTTTGAGCTTTCTTTTATAAAGTCTAAATTATTCCTTTTTCTCAAGCTGTTTTTATCGAAATTAAATGCTCAAGGGTACACTTGTACAGGTGACCAATCACATCGTATCTTTATGACGAGCTCAGGTGACAGTGATATTTCAAATTTGTCTTACGAAGCAACAAATATTTCCTTTACATCTGTCTCCTTACGTCAATCACTGGGCGGAGCCTGCTTGAGAGTTCCTCAGTAATTGTCTTGACACCGATCACCGTTAAATTAAATACTGCCCAGCTTTCAGAGCATTGTTTACTGACATCAATATTAAGAACGCCTTGAGTGTAAAATGTATGACCGGAGAAAAAAAACTAGATGTGCACTTCATGTGCAACGTCTCCTCTGAATTTTAAGAACCAGAAAACTAGCTATTGTAGACAAATGGTTTTGTTTAGTTAAGTATGGAACTGTGAATCTCTCTTATCAGCAAAAATTTCCTGTAGCGAGTTTGCCAAGATCGCTACTTAATTAGTATTTTCATCTGTTTTTTCCCGTTTCTAATACTGCCCTTATCACTTGCATATATAATTTCATATGCCCCTGAAGTCCTCTTAGATCGCTTCAAATTGTTTAAAGAGTACTCGCGAGCACTATTTTGAATTAAGTAGACGATTTTCCAAAGATTTCCTATTCATATACTGTAAGATTGATAGTTATGTATATATACTGATATTGTTCGCTAACAGCGCTAAGACTCCGAGACTTCTTCATTTCGCTTAGCTTTAATGCAGCAAAAAAATATTGTTCATTATGTTTAATAAATAAGTAGCGTTGCCTTTGACAATTTGTCATGACCTTAAGCACATCAAAACTTGCCGGAGGTAAACATATCACTGACGCGTGAGTAAGTCTGCAGTTTAAACCGAATCTTAAGCTGAATATTAGTTTCAATTGTTTTCTGTGTATGGCAGTAATGCAAAGAGGACTGACTGCAGCATTTTCGAGAGACATTCGTTTATGTGTCATTTTAGCTGAACTGACAGGTTATGAATGATAGAGGCAACATAAACACGGCTTACCATGTGTTCTCCTATTCACCGCTAATGTTGATGCAGCTTTCCCTGTGGGATAAATATTTATGGTTTAGGTGGCGATAAATAGCTTATCGGTGTGTTTGTCATGTTAATCAACTTCATGTAACACAGCACGACGCATGAGGCTGCTGCTTCATTCCTCCAAATTATTATTTACTCGTATTGATTTCTCTTTTTCTTCACGATAACTACCAGCTACCTTAACCTAACTTAATGTTCTTTCTAAGAACTGCTTCGGTTTTATTCTGAAGATAACTATTCAAACTATTCAAACAGTGGTCTAGAAAGTCGTTGCTTATTCGGCGGCTTCCTACCGGTTTTACTCAACAGTAGTTTTCAAAGTCGTCAATTGAATTGCAAGGTGGGCTCCACTAGAATAGTGAACATTTCGTGAAGATAATCATCTATTTGCAGTGTATAAAATGGAACAAAAGTTAGAATTAATTAGTAATACAGTGCTTTATCTCGTTATACCGTGAATATCCTTCCCTTGACTTAATTTGTGTTTGTTAGCACGCTTCAGTCTCATTCCCAGGGTCTCGCTTCTCCTTGTGGTCGAGGCGGAGGAGAGAAACACTGGGAACGAAAGAAGGCACACTGATAAGGGAAGGAATTTTTTGAAGGCGGTTCGGAGGTTGGGGCGTGTTGTCCGTTTTCAGCATTTTAACTCTGAGTTTATCTGACAGTAATTTCCACCCATTTCTTGCCGTCACACTCAAGGTTATGCTTTGTAGTTTTGTGAGAGTTTAGAAGCTGACTATCTTTGTTGGCTCAAAAAGTTTCGGTTAGTGCTATAAGCCTTCTTCAGTCGAAATGATAGGTGATAGTAAAATAGGTAGCGCAGTTAACGCACGCGCTAAAAAGTTGTTACGTAATTTACTTATAGACAACTGCGTAGTTATGCGGCGGGAGTAGCTTAACTGAGGAAGCAGGATGACAGAAAACACTTAAACCACGCTCTGAAAAAGCTTTCTAACTTGTAAGGAAAAGAGGTTCGTTGGTCTCTCAATGAACTAACTATCTCCCACACAGTCTCCGTATCGAGTCATAACAATTCATTTTTCCTTCACGATTTTTCAAGTAGTGTAAAGAGATTGAATGGTTAAAATTTTTTTACCATGTGATTAAATGAAAAGAACACGTTCATAACCGCAATGCAGAAGAGATTTAGTTAGGACATTTAGTTAGATTTTAGTTGGGAAATCTGTGGAAAAAGAACAACTTATACAGACTATTACCCTGATAATGTTGTAGTGATTTTTGTTGACCACTCCTACGCCATGCTATTAAATTATTTCTAGCCGTCTGTTTGGATTAAGAACAACTAATAAATTATGACACTGTCAATGGGGCTAGTGTACATATTCTGAGATAAATATATTTTTCTGTGATAAGGGCAAAGAAAATTTCCGTGACATAATATAGTGTTCGTTGGATTTATTTGATTTGATTTCTCGCGAACGCAACCATTATCAAGGAAATAACCTACTCTACTTAAGCTTATTATACAGACCAAAATAACTTCTCACGGCCTGCCGTACTAATGCTGACTACTTTTTCCTGTAATTTCTCCCGGGTTAGCATTTGTTTTCTGTATGCTGATCAAGTGAAGAAAAGTAAATAAAACTGAAATGAACTCAACGGAACTCTCGATAAAATGTTAATAATATAATTTTGTGCTTTAAATGTATTCAACAAACAAGATAGGAAGTTTTCGCACGCATTCAAGCTGTTATACTGTAAAAAATATAAGCAGTGAACATTATAACATGTAAAAAGCTCAGCTATTAAAATAGGTTTCTATATTTTAATATTTCTCTGTGTGGAGACGCCTTGTATCTTCGGCGTAATTTTTCGTCGGAGCGTTCAGTCGAGAGTGCATTAGACTTATCCACAGCTGAACTGTCAGTTCGGGTGCGTCAGACAACTTTTTTTGTATTAATCTTCTCCTTTTTTTGAAATCAATGTTCTGTTTACTCTTCACTGAAAAGTCAATGTCGTATAAGAAACAAGCGTTATCACTTATCTCGCAAATGAACTTACCTTATAAGATGAGAACACAGAATTCTTATTTCTAAACGGCTTGGAAACTAAAATTTCGAGGACGTTTTTGGACTTTTTACATTTAGGGCATGAATTTTTCGTCATTTCAGGTCATGGAACCTAAAAATGAGCCTAGCTAGGTGTAAAAAGGGGCAATACGGAGGCAATACGTCCTAGCCGGCATGATCACATGCTGTTTACGGAAAATTCCCTCATCCATGTCAGGAAATTCTGTATTTTAAAGCCTCCCCTAGGGCATGACTCAGCAATTGAGGACATTTCTGCTACGTTTTCAATGTTGGTTAGCATGCAAGGATTTTTCCCATGCCTATCGTCAATGATTTGCTCACTGGTAATAGAGGGGGTGGCCCCAGAGTGGGTTTGCATTGAAATTGGCATGCAACAGAATTTCGCATGCCCTGTAAGCATAATTTGAGGTTCTGTGACCTNGTTCATGTAATCCGGAATTTCTTAGTGAATGCGGCAAAGGTAGACAGATTAAAGTACAAACTAACTGATCATTTTTCATTTTAGTTTCTGCCTCCGAGGCTTCAAACAGCTGCTGCTTTTCATTATTGTCAAGTTCAATTGGTCTGAAAATCTCCATAAGCCTGCCGGATTTACTACAGTCATATCTCATTAGTGTTTTGCTGCTTTGCATACCCCTAACTGCTTAGTCTGCTTACGATAACAAATTACACTAGAGGCCTTTTGTCGCGGCTCATGCTACAATAGAAAAGGAATTCATAAAGAAGTTGGAAAATTATCCGTCATAGAGCATCCCCGGCACTAACAGACAAGTTGCCATATTCAGATAATCTCAAATACGTTTTTACCTTTCAGTCCAGTTTGACAAAGGGAGCGTGGCAATAACTCCAAACGCCGTGTAAGTTCAAAGTTTGTTTTAGGTAAGAAGAGGAAGTTTTTCTTTCGTATGAAAAAAATCCTTAAGCAAAAAGAATAATCTAGAAGTAAATGCACTTGTTCTCTTTGAAATGTCTGCTATTTAATTGCACCCTGTAATCCTTCTCATTGAAAAGCTTTTCCTGGCTACCTGGAACACTTTCGAGGAAGAAACCATTTCCTCATTAAAATTTTAAGGTAGACTGGTTTTAAATACGTCTCGAAGAAATTACGATATTATTTTTAATAACGTTTGAGTAAGACAACCATGTTTAAAAATATGATCATTAACCTTCAGTCACTCGAAAAGAAGTGTCTATTGCCCTAGTGTAAACAATTTTTGTTTTACGTTTTAAATGACCAATAGACCATGGAGACATCAGTTTTTCTGTCTCATGGGTTTAATAACCTGCTATGATACTCAGTTCCCTAATCAGACATCCCGCCGAATCAACCAACAAACATATAGTAGACTGTTAGAATGATTAATTGACCGTTCATAAACAGGATCTCTTTTGGATTACTAGCACTTTGTCTAGCAATATCCCTTAGCTAAATATAGGAAGGGAAACACCCTTTGTTTTGATTTTTCCCTGCGGTTAAGTTTTTAATATTTCTTTCATATCTAATTGTAGGTATTTTTTCTATTTGTTCTTTATTCACACTGAAGACAATGTCATTTTGTGAGTGCTTGGCAATGTCTTATAACTGACACTATAACTAATACTATTAGCACCATCTCCGCCGCCCTACTACTTCTTCCACAACTACTACCGCCACTACCACTACTCTCTACCATCTAACCGTAACCTAGCCCGAACCCTACCACTATTATTACCAATTCCAACACCACCACTACCACCACAACAACAGCCACCACCGCTACCACCGCCACCACTTTCACGTCACCACCATCTCCACCACTACCATTAACACTTCCACCACCACTACAACCATCAACACCACAACTACCACCAACACTGAAACAACAGCCACCACTACCACCACCACCACCATGATGAGGCTTCTGCCACTCCTACTATACCATAAACATTCAACTCGAGCTTTCAGTAGAATGATGTCGATGATGCGAATGAAGCCGTTTTTTACGTCAACAGTTATTTTCCCCTCCCAAGTTATTTCTGGTGGAAATTCTGCTCTAAAAAAGCGTGAATATACCAGTTATAAAAAAAGATGCTGTGTGAGGGTATATTTGGGCGTCGCTGTTCTGCGCGTATGTGAAGTTTTTAAATATATTAGGGATGTGTCAGTAGTGAAGTAGCGTTATATATTTAGGGGTTGGTTGAGATGTATGAAGTGGAAGGCGTGGAGTTATATTGGAATGGATTGCTAAGATAATGGCTGTAGTTTGTTAAACAGTGAAACTGGTTTCTCACAGAATTTGATATTGAGTAACAAAAAATATCTTTTTTGGAAGGTAAAAGTGATTTAAGGTGTTGTAGTGAGGTAGTTGTGGGAGTGCTGATTTGGTTGTAAAGGGGTAGTGTAGTAACAGTCTGTTGAAATGAAGTGGTGGTTGTGAAAGCCAATAGTCGAAAACATCATCATCATCATTAATATCATCATCATCATCATTACGGTTTGTATTCACTCTTGACAGAGAATCGATCCCATGTGTGTCTGTGCTTCGCTAGTCTTGACCATAACATGCTTGTACTTATTTTAAATGTTGTTAGGTATTTTGTTTAGGATTGTCTTTCGGTTTGATAATACTTGTTTGGAGAGAACGTGTGAGAAAGTTCATTTAATATGGAGAAGGGCGTATGAAGATGTTCCTTTTTGCTCGTTGGGGGTGGGGGAGGCGGGCGGCTAAAATTTTGGGTGTGTGGGTTCGGGAAGCTTTGAAAAAATCGGTTAGGTAGGGTCTGATTACATTAGCCGGGCTGGTTCGCGAATGAACCAAGCGAGAAACATGCAAACTGCTTCCAATCTCTATACAAAAATGGCGGCTCAGGGCTAAAACCGGGAAAAAAGTCGTCTCGGCAGAGCTAGCCAGACCGGCTAATATGTTCAGGCCCCTAGTGTGAGTTGTCTTGTTACGCATTTTGCACGTAAAAGCTTTGGAATTAGCCGCTTTTGTGGTTCGTGTATGAGGGAAATCGACTTAATCTAATTAACCCAAGGGTTTTAAAAATAACTGTCACGCACGCAGTTTGCCCCCTTTACGGTTCTAACGTGAAAGAATGCAACTTGTTTATGGGTTCATTTTTCGCAATAAGATTTTAAGAAATCACCTCCTTTTCGAACATATGCAATGAAATTATGCATCATTCAATGTTAAAAGTAAAAGTCTAACATCAAGTAGCTCCAATAAAATTATGAAACTGCTGTAATACTTTATATGTGGCCGCTCATCGCATGTCATTTCCCTCGCTGAAACAATCCCGTACTTATCTCATGCACGATCACGAAATTTTGCGTCATTGCGTGACATCTTTTTTGGCTCTCGATAACTGAGGGCAAAAATAAAACTATAAACCCAACCCGTCAATTCCACAGTGTGATTTTCAATGTTTAATATGACCAACGATTATAAAATATTCATTACTTCTTAAACTCAAACAAAATATAAAGTAATTACTAATGGATAGAAATTGCAAAAAAATTGATCTAGCTAAACGAATTATCGCATGTCAAAAAACAGAGCCATTTCCTGTAATATTCCTCACGAAGGCAAACACTTCACAGTAAGCATGAAAATTGCTCAAACTCTTGAGTGTGATCCAAACCCGTTTTAAATTCCAAATATTTTTGGATGATTTAATCCCTGGATTTTATACTTCCAAATTTCCGAAAAAACCGGCCCGCTTTTAGGTGAGGTAAAAAATACGGTAAGCTTCTGAATAAGATCATCTTTTCCTCCAAAATTAAAATTAGCCCTGCGTTGCTTTAACATGTTCATCGCTTTTAATTCCTTCGTCCCCGCATTGTTGGGAATTGTGCCAAGTTCTTTGTTGCAAGGTTTTGAGATCGTAAAGGTGGGATTAAGAACTTTGCTTGCAGAGCTTTTTTTCTAGCCTGCTTTTTACCTTGTACGAGACGTTCGCGTGGCACATTCGCGTCGCTTGGCGTGTTTACGTTCGCACGTATTGCGTGCCTATTGCAACTCTGACTCAAAATAAGCGATCTCGATTACTCTTTTTGGGCGACGCCCAAGTACTAACCGTGGGTTCGTATGCAAGATGTGACCATTTTGTTTCTATCGACGATGCTTTAAAGTGAGTGACCATGCTTAGAGACGCGAAGTGGGAATGGGCGGAGAAGAACAAAACTCTCTACCGGTGTAAACGTTAAATTTCTCGTTTGACTAGCCCACGGTCGATATATCAAAATTCTAGCATGACTCCGAGGCTTTAGAGTCAAAATTGTAAACTTTTCACAACTCCATTGTCTCGCAATTCCCAGAACAGAATTGAGCACAAAGAAAACAAAACCAAATATAGAAAAATGACCAGAAAGCCTCAGAGTCATGTTAGAATTTTAATATATCAAACTTGGGCTATTGCAGTTGATATCCCGCCAGTCTTCTCCTCCTGGATGGATCGAGTGGAACTGGAAATGATAAGAAACTAGCATAAGTCTCTGTTGAATGGTGAACGGAAAAACCATCCGGGATGCGTGACACTTCTACTTGGATAGCTGATGAGGTGATATTCCACAAAAAAATATCAAACAAGTGTCAAATGTTTTTTGTTAAAAAAAACCCAGACGTTTCTGGTGTATGGCCCTTCTTCAGTGTGAGGAAACGTTATCATTTGTCTGTTAGTTATCTACACTTCCGAATATTAGCGACAGAAGTCGGAGCGATGTTTCGTCTTCATGTTAAGTTACCGTGCTGGTCCCTTGTAACTGATAACCCTATGTAAAAATCATTAGAGACGACTGGGGAGGGGTCATAGACGGTATATTTCAAAGAAAATAAGCTGGGCAGCGACAAATCAAGGTAAAAGGCAGTTTTGAAATAATATTGTTTTCATTGGTCCCTATTTCTTAACTCAGAGGTTAGTCTGCTCAATACTCGACAATAAATAACGAAAGAAAAGGAATCTCTCTGACCGTTCGCGGTGGCACTGAACACATTAACGGTAATTACATGTAACTCGCGGATACTCAAGGTACTCCGCCTAGGTACCCTAAAATAACGCCTCCAAACAGGTCATAATAGAGCAAGATTTTTGAGCTAATTATAACGCGTGGTTGCGAAAAACAAAAGGAATAATTAAAAGATTCTACTAACACTCATTAAAAGTAGCTTGTAATAACTGAAGGAAGAAGGGATCAGTATACGATTTCGGGTGACCCCACTCCCCCCCTCCCCCTCCCCATCCCCTTAATCCGACGTTAAAACGAATTTCTAACGTAAGGCGAAAAATTGGGTTAGGGGAGTCTTCAGGCCTGTGTGCTTGGAGGTGTGGCGCCCTAGATAGGTCAGGTAGACAACTCAGGTGGTGTAAAAAATAACCCGCGTTTACATGCAATCTTGAAACCCCGCCATCCCAGGGTACATCATGTAAACCTGATGCAGACTCGCCTAAAGGGATTACCTTAGCTACCTGGTGTCTCCTACCAACATGTAAACAGGCGCTAATTATACTGGGTGCCATCAATCTTGGGGCAGACGCAAACCTAGACTTCCTCAAAGTCCCTCGCTTCTCATTTCCGGTTCCGGTAGTTGGTCCCAGCGCGAAGGACTTTTATCCCTTGCAGCGCGCCAAATTTGCAGGAGGAATTTTCCTCGTGAAGGTTTTATCCAATCACGAACGGTTTTACTGATGCGCCGTCAAACAAACCCGATCACGCCACATGAAACGTGACTTAAACTGTTTTCATCCAAACTGTGTATTTTTTGCGGGCTGTATTCCGATTTCGTTTTGTCGCCTGTACTCAAAGACAAAGCTTCAGTGGGCGTTTTGTCTTCCTCCATTTGGGTACTTTACCAAGGTCGGATTTTCCTGGCGGCCACGGAGCAAAAGAACATTACCGACTTGCTTTGTTTTGAGCACGCGCAAGACAAAATTTGTGATGCGATTTTTTGCAGGGGAAACAAGTCGAGCTTTGCTCCCTCGCTCGCTTTTGGCGCAGAAAACATAAAAAATCTGTCGCTCACGCTTCGCGATCGTGAAAAAATTTGATCTCGACTTGTAGGCAAGTCTAACATAAACCGAAAACGATTACTCACATTCCTAAATGGCGCCATCAGCCATCCTCGGAGACCCAGGGGGCAGTCAGTCAGGTCGGGAGAAAAGGCGGGAAACTTCAAGATGCGGCGGCGACGAGAAAGTCAAGTTAGCAATAGCTTCACAAGGCAAAACAACTTTGCATGTGCATCACGCTTTTTTTAACATTTCTTTGCCGTCAACGGCACGACTACCCGTGAAAATGCCTAATTTCACGTTTTGTGAAGGACGTAAACAAGCAATGACAAAATTCATTCTCTTCATGAACTTGGATATAAAGAAGTCAGAGTCAGTGCTTGTATTTGACAAAGTAAGCGAGTTGGAATAGTCACGATAGAGACTGAAAAAATGTGAATTCACTTTTCCATGCGACGTTTTCGCGGCTGTCAGCCGTCGTGGTATCTTTTAAAAACTCCCTAGTATTTACGCAAGACGCGTGACCGATGCAAGCGTGAATACCTGTTGTAAGCTCAAGCTTGTATTTTTGGAAAGCGTCTTTATTTTTCGGGCAAACAATATTTTGAAATCAGATGGGGATTTTATATCAAACTGAAAGTTTCCTGACTGCGTGCATTTCTTTAGTGCATGAGCCAGACAAGCCGTGATCGAGACAATAGCCGTCGTGTACGAACTCACGAAAAGAACCCAGGAGGAACTGTTCGCCGATTGGGCACAATAATACAAAGCATTTTTTGTGCCCAATCAGGAGCTGGCATCTGCTTGAATTTTTGGGAATAGTTCGGTGAGAGTCGGTACCCAGAGGCCCTTTCGCCCATGCTTGAAAACTTTCGTCCCGCCTTTTCTCCCGATCCGACTGACTGCCCCGTGGTCTCTGAGGATGGCCATCAGCTGGTATTCCATCTCGTCTACATAAAGACGGATCAGACGCCCTGGCTTCTCCATTGTCCGTCATTTTTAATTTAACTATCCAACAAAAGGTTATCCCTGCGGAATAGAAAAAAGCGAAGGTGACCCTCTGCACAAATCAGGTACAAAAGATGATCCAAGAAATTACCGCCCCACATCCGTATTACCAGTGGTATCTAAAGTCCTAGAACGTTTAATCTACAAGCAACTTGCAAGTTATTTTGACGACCATAACTTGCTCTGTAAATCACAATCTGGTTTTAGAAGAATGCTCTCAACTGAGACGGCTGTAACCTATTTCGCCGACGAGATTCTCATGAACATGGATAAGGGCTTAGTCACTGGTTCTGTGTTTATTGACCTGGCAAAGGCTTTCGACACAGTTGACCATGACATTTTGCTTAGCAAATTAGAGTATTACGGTGTATGCGATGAAAGCCTTCCATAGTTTAAGAACTACTTCACGGGAAGAAAGCAGTTCGTGCACATTGATTCTCAGTCATCTGAAGAGCTTGCCATAACTTCTGGAGTGCCGCAGGGGTCCATCCTCGGATTCATTGTCTACATTAATGACCTACCACGTTGTATCAAACACTGTTCTGTAAATATGTACGCTGACGACAGAGTTTTATATCTTGCTGGTCCAACTGTACACAATTTAATTTTTTCCATCAACCAATATCTTCAGTGTTTATCTGAATGGCTAGAAAACAATAATCTTGTTCTCAATGTTTCAAAAACTAAGTGTGTACTATTTACATCTCAAAGGCATAAAGAGCGCGATTGCATTTTAAATCTTAATTTTCTCGGAAAGTCCATATCTTGCGAAACTTCTTTTAAATACCTAGGCGTGGTGTTCGACAACTTTATGACTTGGAAGGCTCACGCGGACTATGTGTGTAAAAAGGTGGCGTTAGAGTTAGTATCCTGGGCCGTGTTAGAAGTTTCGTCACAAAAGAGGCAGCAACACTTGTTCACAACGCTTTAATTCTTCCATTATTTGATTACTGTGACATTGCCTGGAGTAACCTTCTACAGCAAGATATAGATCGACTACAGCGCCTACAGAATAGATCTGCACGGATTATCACACGTTGCTCTCGCTCATCTGAAGCAATAGTTACTTTTCATTATATTTTACTAGATTTTCGAACATTCACAATTATTCCACAAGGCAATGTATGAGGCTATCCCTACCAAACGTTAAACAAAATTTTGGGAAAAAGACCTTTCTTTTTACTGGCGCAAAAATTTTTAACAATCTCCCTTTAAACATTGTGAAGAGTGAAAACATTCAAACGTTCTGCCGCCGAGCAAGACATTTCTTTTTGTCATAACTTTGATATTTTAGTACTATTTTAGGCTTTAAATGTGATTTTGCATTGTATTTTTAGACTTTCTAATATAGTTCTTAAATTCTAGTATTGTATTTTTATTAGGTTTTTTAAATGTAATAGTTCATGAAAATTCTTGATGTAAATTAATTTTTTAAGATACAGGGTCCCTATGGAGACCAGCCTTAGAGCTGAATGGGCTACTCCGTGTAAATAACGTTTTACTTTACTTTTTTACTCACAATTTCTGTAACATGGAACAAGACAGTCAAATACCCAAGACAAAAAGCTGCCAACACGTTTTGCTGTTTATTACCTTGACAAAAAAAAAAAAAACTTTCACCGACGTCTTAGAACAATCCAGACAGAACATAGAAATGACACTTGTCAAGAAGACGATGAATAGGGAGTATTAAATTAAGCGCCTCGCAATGGTCTTTTCCATTTTGAAGTGTTTTTATTCAGGTATCGCGACGGATTGCCATCATGGACGTCATTCTCTATTACAATCATGCAAGGTCTTTTCGAGTATCCCACTTTCTAAGCGTTAGGCGAAACAATTTATTTCCACTTTACGGGTTTTTCAGGAACTTTATTTGGATGTCATGCTTTTATCATTTGAGTAGCTTAAGGTATTTTTCCTATCGGTAGCTATTCGCCTATTGCAGACCTCAGAGAATTCCACTAGTTGTTCTGGTCGTTGTAACAATTAGGTCCCGTTTATATGGAGAGAAGTTGTCCCGGGTAAGAGGGTCACCCTCCCATCCGAGTCAACGAGTCAGCGGGCGTTGATATCAGAAAAACGTTGTCTCTTTTCCCAAAAGCCACCAGCGCTCGCCCATCCTCTAATTAGAGACTTTAGGATCCAACGACGCGACGGCAACGAGAACGTCGCTTAAAAAGTGAATTTGCGTCCTTTCAGTATTTATCGCAATTTTTTCTACCCACTTAGTTTCTCAAATGTAGGCGAACCCTCCTGGAATTGAATTGAATTGAATTCCTAGGGACCATATACAAGTTCAAAAAGAGAAATAAAATTTCGTCGTTGCTTGTTTATGTCCTCCATAAAACGCCAAATCAGGCATTTTCGCGTCGTAGTCTTGCAAAAACGGGCAAAGAAATGTACAAAAAAGTGTGATGCACGTACAAAGTTATTGTTTTGCTTATAGAACCTATTGTTTTTTGACGCTCTCGTTGCCGTCCGCGTCGTTGGATTTGAAAGTCCCTATTGTCTCGCCTTGACCGAGGCAGGCGAGTTAAAATGTTATATAGAGAAAAGTTGACTCGGCTAGGTGGGTTACCTTCTAGCCGAGCCAACTTCCTGTTTCTCATGTAAATGTTTTGCCAAGTTTTGTAAAAAAATGAAGGAAAAGTTGGCTTGCCCAGGATAGCTCGGATAGGCGCAAGTGACCCTTTACTCTCCGTATAAATACGGCCTATGATTTGCCATTAGTCGCTTGTCCAGGCCTGTTTTGAGGAGGATTAGTAGAACGCTGATCTCATTCAAATCATTCTCAGCTGAATCAAATGTTCGGTAAGTTGTTATTGGTGGCTTGCAAATTGTTTCCATTGTTTGCCCTATCAATATCCTCCGGTTCGCTATCTCCTTCGGGGAGTTCCGGATGCGCTCGTATAGGAACCAAATTTAACGAGAAATGCGCGGAGCGTCTTGCGAACCTTCGATTCTGATCTGGCTCGTGATTGGTAAGTGGTTCATTTTCCTCGCCAGGACATTTCTTGTTACAATTTATTATATTCATTTCAATTCCTGTTGAAACGAGCGACGAATAACGGCTTCGGCCATTGACGCCGTCTGGCGAAGCAACACTAACGCTTGTTTGCAGTGTAGACAGTTGTAGGGCTTTAAGGGCGTTGTCCACCATGTTTTTCTTTCCTCGGGAAGGCAGCTTAAGCTTAACCTTTGCGTATGAATTATAGAGTGAAAAGTTACTTGCCACAACAGATACTGGCAATGCTATCATAAGAACACCACTTATAGCGCAAACGCATCCCACCAACTTGCCTGGAAGAGTTGTCGGAAACATATCGCCATATCCCACAGTTGTCATTGTGACCAGTGCCCACCAGAACGAGATTGGAATGTTTGTGAATTTAGTTTCGGGCACGTTTCTTTCCGAGTAGTAAGCGAGGCTGCCGTACACTACTACCTCTAAACCCAAAATAAAGATGAGAAAGTACAACTCGCGTGAACTTGCTCGAAGTGTCTGAGTGAATACTTGCATAACGTAGGAGAATTTTAACGGACGAAAAGTGCGGATCATGCGAAGGACGTATAAGATGCTGAAATTTCTGATGACTTCGTCGTAGGGTGTCAGAATAACCAAGTAGAAGGGTATTATAGCAATAAAGTCAGCCCAGTTTTGAAGAGTTTTTAGGAAGCAGACTCGATCTGGACAGCAAAGAAAGCGTATTGCAATATCCAACGTGAACCAGGATACCGCAATGCATTCAATAATAAACAGGACTTGGTACTGTGTGGACAATTTATCGCTGAAGTAATCTAGCGTCAGAAGACAAAACTGTGTTACAACCGCCACGTTAAAAATAAGAGAGATGAAGCCAAAAGCCTAAAGAATAACAAAGAAAAATACAGTCATAAAGTAAATTTTACGGGGCTATACAAAAACAGACTTATGGGAAGTGTTCAGAATGGGTTCCTGCTAATGGTAACTACTCTAGAAATTTGACGAAATACCTCAGCAGCGAATACATCTAGCCTATAAAGAGTCGACCTATTTAAGGGAATCCAAAACAGTCTTGGATTCCGGATTCCACGGCGTGTGTTGCGAAGGAAATATCGCGGGTAACATTAAGAACAGCTGTGAGTAACATAAAGAACGATTGCGGATAACAGAAGTAACAACTGCGAGGAACATAAGGAACAGCTGTGGGTAACATTATGAACAATTGCGGGTAACATAAGGAACAATTGCGGGTAACATTAGGAACAAATGCGGGTAACATAAGAGCAAGACGAGAAATGTTTCCTTGCCGAGAGGCAGCATGTTAAGAGAATTACCTCTGAGATACTATGCTCTGGTTACTCCATTCAAATCCTTCTAAATAGACCCTGGTCATAAGTTTGACCCAACTAAGACTTGAAAGATTTGTGTAGGGTCACCCAAGTATAACAGTGCTAGTATCTAGCTTTCAAACTAGAGGACAAAATTCTTGTCAAATGTAACTTTTTCATCTTATTCGTTGTAAATGAATCAACAAATAGTTCTGACGTCACCATTTTAGAACTCTATTTAACGAAATGAAATGCCAGAGACAGCCACAATGGATAGAACGTCGTGCAAAATCCGTTTGAAAAACTAGACCATGAGCTGTTAGAAATTTGTCAGTTTTAGAGCAAACAAAATGATGCTTCTACTCGGTGGAGCTCTTCTCGCTGCAGCTCATAAAACTACCCCCAAACGACACGTTTTTCAAACATACAACTGGGAGTCATTATGGAGGACAGACGTCTACAGAATGTGCTTGTTCTGGTTTATAAATGTGTAAATGGGCTAATGCCCACTTATCTTAGCTCAAGCTTTTTGGAAAGAAATTCAGGGTACGATCTTAGAGGTAAAAGGATAACTCGTTCTTCCGAAATCGAGGACGTCTACGCATAGTCTAAATTCCTTTACTTATTTCGCGACGAATCACTGGAATTTACTAACTAACAATGCAAGAACTGCTAGTAATATACGTAGTTTTTATACCGTTCTTAGACGACACTATAATTTATTGTAATGCAATTTGTTGCCTCTTTTTAATGATGTACATTGTTGTAAATAGTCATGTGGTCAAAATTATTTTTAATATTGTCATCGATCGCTCTCGATTGTTTCATTAATCTGTTTTGTTTCTTTTCATTAGGACATACTAGCAACAATGTTGCTCTTCCATCCGAATGTTGAAGTAAGGTTTATCTATCTATCTATGGGTGTTTCCGACGGCATTTAACTCGCGACGATCACTTTTGGTGAGACGATCTTAGAGATAAAAGCGACGATCGCACTGCCATTCCAATCAAGTTTGACAGATAAGTCGTGAGGGCAAAGAAATTGGCCAATAGTTAATTGGCGCGTCCCCAGTAACGATTCCAGAGATGAAACAATCGCAAGACGAAATTCGGCTCTAGTTCCCTTCTCGTTTCTAAGGTTGCGAAGGAAATATCGCTGGTAACATTAAGAACAGCTGTGAGTAACATAAAGAACGATTGCGGATAACAGAAGTAACAACTGCGAGGAACATAAGGAACAGCTGTGGGTAACATTATGAACAATTGCGGGTAACATAAGGAACAATTGCGGGTAACATTAGGAACAAATGCGGGTAACATAAGAAACAATTACGGGTAACATTAGTAACAATTGCCGGTAACATTAGGAACAACTGCGGGTAACATCAGGAACAATTGCGGGTAACATCAGGAACAATTACAGGTAACATTAGGAACAATTGCGGGTAACATTAGGAACAACTGCGGGTAACATTAGGAACAATTGCGGTTAACATTAGGAACAAATGCGGGTAACATTAGGAACAATTGCGGTTAACATAAGGAATAATTGCGGGTAACATAAGGAAAAATTGCGTGTAATATTTAGGAACAACTGCGGGTAACATTAGGAACAACTGCGGGTAACATTAGGAACAATTGCGGTTAACATTAGGAACAACTGCGGGTAACATTAGGAACAATTCGGGTATCATAAGGAACGATCGCGAGTAACATTAGGAACAATTGCGGGTGACATAAAGAACAATTGAGGGTAACATAGGAACAATTACAGGTAAGGGGGTATTTAGATGACACCGGGGCGACTTTTTCTCTGGAGTAAGTTCACTCCGGTTCCCTCTCATGGCTCTACATTTGTTTACATGATACCCCGGCGTGAGTTCACCTTAGTTGTTGTACCGGAGCGACAATTTCACTCCGGTACGAAATCTCGCGACGGTATCATGTAAACGCGAAACGACTACAAGTTTCGGTTTGAAATCAGTCTGCTGGTAGACTGGAACGGGTAGCGCATGCGCATGTTTGCGATTTTGAATCTTACGTGTATTTTATCAACATGAAGTGTACCTTCAACTAACGTGATATGAAATGACCCAGTCATAATGTAAACACGATACGAAATAAAAAAGTCATCCCGGTATGAAACTCGAGCCGGTGCGAGTTTTCTCATGTAAACACCCCGTAACAATTGAGCGACAGACGTCAATTGGAAGTGAAATCTTCTCGGCCCCTTCATGATATGCCTTGACGTTAACATATTTTTATTTTTAGCTCTTTTCTCTTATAGGGACGATTTGGACGAGAATATTGGAACACCAGTGCCCAAGAATGCAAAGAGTCCACTTCCGTTTGACATGCGTCTCTCAAAACCCCTTTTGCTTAAATAAGCTCCCTGTAAAGTCTATAACACCAGAGGGTAACAGTGCACTGTAGCCAGCGAATTTATCGGTCGCGAGATTTACTTTTATAAATTTGTGGAGGAAGAAGTGTTTCTTTGTAAGCTGGTTATTCTTGTTTCCCTCGAAACTAACTTTTATCCTCAATAGATCTTAGGACACTACGTTCCACAGGCGTCCGGATATCTTTGTAGACGGGTTTTTTTTCTCCCGTTTTGAAATAAATATGATTCCGATTTGTAGCTTAGGCATTCGAATCACATTCGCTAATTCACATGAAAACGCTAAAACGATGGAAATACGCTAGCGTTCCTTACAGGGCACGTGCTGTTTCACGACTGGCATCATTGTTTCGTCCGTCCACACCAGAAAGATAAGCCGGCACGTTGAAAAAAAAAATCCACTCTGGGAACAGTTTTCGGAAACCTGCCTTTTTTGGTGCCCGAAAACGTCGTCTACGTCTGGACGGAAGGGTAAAACGGAGAAAAAGACACCCGTATATAAGCCTTGCGACGACCGGGGCCTTTGCCTAATAAAGACACCGATTTCACGCTTTAACGTCTTCTATTTTAATCTTTTTTGTTGATGTTTTTGTTTGTTCTTTATTGATCAAGTTCTGTCAGTTGATCAATCACACGGCAAGGAAAATATAATTTATTCAATTTATGTGTTTTCTCAGTGTACTGAAAATGATGGCTTGATTTGAAGAGAAACACTTACCATTGATAAAAAAAATTATGTTCGTAGACGAGGTTAGTTTGTTACAAGATACGTTGTTTCGTATTCAAAGTAAACTGTGAATTTAAAAAAAGGGAGTTTATAACGTTAGCTAACGTTCGATGAAATCAAATAAAATGCTTATGAAAGAGTGAGCGGTTTACTTTTTTGTTTCCCTGAGTTAATCTTGTCATTTCTGTGCCTAGCAATATACTATTTAAAGAAAAATGTGACAAACGTTGAATTCAATCAATAGTTTCTGCGAATATATAAGCAGATGAGTGGCAAAGTCGAATTTTCAATGTACAAACTACATAACTTTTACATTTTAAATAAGTCGTTATTAAAATGGAAGTTGGTGGTGTATACGTGGGAAATTGCATGTGAATTACTGTTGCTTTGAAAATGCGACAAAAATTTAGGAAAGAGGACATTCAAACAAAATTTTCAAACCTTAGAACAGATCTAACGCTTAAACAAAAGACTTCGATCATTTTCACGAATTGGTCAAGACATTTATATGCAAATGCACGGCGTATTTTAAGGTTAATATGGAAGAAAGTGAATATAAATGATTGACTTACGACAGAAGATCTGAAAAGCTTTTGTTTTTACTTAAAAGTGATCAATGCAATTTTATTCTTTGAGTAGAAGAGTAGATCTAAAATAGAGTATTCTTTTTGTTTTTTATCGATAAAGATCTAGAAAATTTGCCTTTTTAATCAATGCGTGGTTTTGTTTTCGCGTATCGATATCTTCTGCTGTTCACTTCAAGGAAGAAACGATTCATTTTTCACCACCAAATCGGAAGCGATGTTCACCATGTTAGACACTAAGTCTAGGCTCGGCCAATCACTGACAGAATAAATGTATTTTAATTCATTAAAAGACGTAACTAAATAGAAAATTGTACAAACAGTGCGAAGACTAAATTAAGAAGAAAATCCTGTCCGTTGACATTTCACAAACTTTCGGTTACTCTTTTCTTCGATGTCGTTGTCGCCTGATCGTTTTGGCGTTTATCACCCTTCTAGTTTTCAACGTATGGTTATTTAAAGATACTTCTTTTGTTCTTGTTTTAGATAATGTCCTCTTTCAAAACGTTTTTGTTAGTGAGTAAGTGCTTTATTTCAGTGAAATTAATAAACATGTAAACCAAAAACTCGACCATTAACGCTAGGCGAGCCATTAGTAGACAAACCTAAGTACAACAAAAAATTAATAAGCATACGCAGTATTCATAAACCGCGACATTGAAGAGGATAGCAAATACTGAAGCGCATGGGGCACTCACATTTCCAACCACGTCTTCTTTGCCAAGCAAAACAAGTCAAGTTAAATTAATTTGATGCAAAAAGTAAAAGACGAAGAAAAAAATGATTTCTGACGAGGCTACACTTTGTGCTTCGTATACGGTTCCTATGCATTTTCAGAGAAACTGGGCGAAATGACGTGAAAGAAAAATAATATCAGTATCTGTAAACGGAACGCAGACCCGGAAGAATTGTCATAGGAGCAGTTTGGCATATGCATGAAAACTGTGCTTTAACTACTGAGTTTTCACTTAAAGAATGAAAATTTTCGTTATCAATATTAGTTATGCATTTTAATTGCAAAGGCGTCAAAAGATTTCTTCCAAAAGATTTCTTCAAATTATGGGGGTTTGTCAAACACGACCATGAGGGGGTACTATGATTCTGGCCGGTTTGTGAAAGATTAACCCTAAATACATCATAAAGGGTGATTATGTGTTATTTACCGTCAACCTTACCCTGGCCAACTTTGACGAGTAAGGGTCGTCAAATGTTTTCCAGATTTTCTTTTTGATCGTTTGCCAAAGACGTCTTGTGCGATGGACCCCAAGTCGGCGAGATTCGCTGCATATTTCACTTCCGCTGCTTGGTATTTCAATATCACCAGAGCCACTGTTGATATCTTCAAATTCGGATTCTTGATCTTCTTCACGGGAAAATCCCTGAAGCTTTTCTTCGGCATCTCGATGTTCATCGTATTTGGCCCAGCAGCAAGTCTCTATCTGTTTTTCATCCAGCCCCCAAAAGTTAAGCTCTTCTTCAAAGAGCGGCCCGCAGACATCTCTTGGACAATGAAGCTTGCCTGTGCGGTAGAAATTTAGAATATGAGTAAAGACAGCGGGATTCCGATCGAAGAAAAACTCGCGCTTTTGCCCAAGCGGTCTTGGATCCTTCATAGCACGTTCAGCTATCCATGCAAGACGTGTGTCCGGAATGCTAGCCAATGTACTGACAAATGTTTCGTGTTTTTGCCCGCCGACGTTTAAATAAAGTCTTGTTTCGCCAGGGTTGTCTGAATCAAAGAGTCGAGATCGAGATCGTGACATGTTAGGCGACTGAGAAGCCTGTTCCGTGCAGTTAGAGTTGTCAAGAAAAACGCGATGAGTTACTGGACTACTTCGTGGCTCGGGCTCAGTTGACTCTTGGATCCTGATATACGAATATATGTAAAAATTTAGTTTCTTATAAAATGTGGAACATTATATAAGTTCAGTATTTTTCACCAGCCAGCTGATGCCTGTGGAGAGCGTTTCACGTTTGACAAACGATGCATATGGCCGGCACGGCAATAGCAAACTGTCAAACGAGTAGACACGCGTTTAGCCTGTTGCCCTGGGGCTAGAAGGCATCTCGCTCTCAACTGACGCTAAATCAATTCGCAAATACACGAGTAAACACATAAATCTTTTTCTTGCAAACAAACACCCCTCGAGCGATGATCTTTTGAAGAGCGCTCGTTTGGTGTCAGACCCCTAAGTGTTATGGTGTCAAACTTGTAATTTTTAAAGTTAAAGTGGATTTCTTTAAGGTCGTGATATTTAATGAAAATGAAAATAATGTCGTTATGGCCCCCGACTTCTGAGTGATAGTTTGACATTTTTATCGCTTGTGTGGTAGTTTTCTGATGTATGGCACAATAGTGTGCGTATCTTTAAGCGGAAACATTGATATTTTGTCTTCAAAAATCCTTTTTAAATGATTTCCATTTTGTTACCTTTAAAACAAGTTTTCTATGGGCCTCAAAAAGAACGCGGATCGCGTACATATCGAATGAACCAAACAAATAAACTCAGGGGATGTTGTTCAAAACGTAAACGTCATCACTTCATCGTTGAAAAAAACTGATATCTTAAGTAGGGTGACCTTATCTTTGTTTAATTAATTCATCGGCGAAGATATGCAATTACGATTCGTCCGTTGCAAACTTGCCAATCTCGAAAATGAACGACGGGTCCTTCCTTTCGTTCAGCTCTCGTGGTTTGAGCTTTCTTCGGTCTTAAGCATTTGATTACAATCTTCTAAGCGAGCCAATTCTCTTCGATAGAAATTGCGCTAGTTGTACCAGACCTCATCTGCGTTTCATGTCGCCTTATTTGCTCACTTTTGATGCTGAGTGTTATTTTTGAGCGGCGTCCCTAAAGACTAATTATCTTTGTACGAATTTACATGAAACTTGTAAATATTAGCTTTGCCCTTTGAGGTCCAGTCTCATGCACTTAGTCTTATAAGCAGTTCGCACAAAAAAAATACAAAAAGACGAAAATCACAAAAAACTTACATGACTGATGTGGCCCTGTGATTTCCCCTCTTACGTTTGGACACGAACATTACGGCTAAGCTGGGCTACCACAAGAAATCAGATAAGCAAACACACTTTCACTTGCTATCGCCGTTAACTGACCTATCGACGTACTGATCGAATTACTGCTAAATTCAGGTCTGTAAACGCGGCCCCCTTTTATAACGAAATCCAACTAAACTTTCACTCATTTTTAGCTATTTTTGAGTGATGATAAATTGCACGAGAATTCAAGTCGACGCTCATTGGACAAGAGCTGTTTTCGCCCGACTTCAAACGTAATGCCTACATCGTACATCATCTCGTGGTCTTGTTTAGCTGTTAAACTTAGAATTTGTTGGGGTACGAGCACTTTGCTTCCCTTGACATGGTAATTTCCCGCTTTGTTCACCTCCAGTCGTATAATGAGTATGGGAAACTAAATTAACAATGAATATAAAAATACAACATTTACCTAACAAAACACTTTTCTAAGCCTACGACTGTTTTTGTTTTTTCTTTTTGGCTCAAAATAAAGGTAACGTAACCCTAATAACGTTTACATTAATTATCTTATCTTTAGTTTTAAGGGCGTGACTTGAGTTTCGGATCAACGATAGCCCATACATAAAATACAAAATACATAATGGAATGACAAAAATACAAGTACCCCACGCTAAGATTAGAACATCACTGATTGCGAAAAGAAATTTTTTAAAAGTCTCTCGCCGGAAAAAAACAGTTTGATCTTATGCTCTAAGACCCATAGCGGTAACAACCTGGCCATATTTAAAGCTGTTCAAGCCCAGAGTTTAGTTTCAGTCTTTTAAAGACTTTTTTATGATTTTTTTGTGAAACCTTAACGAGCCCTGTCAAGTGTCTGATGTAAGTGACGAAAGCTGAGTGGCAGTTTATCATCAGTAATAGCTTGTAATGCCATAACCACATTTCAACCCGGGGAGCACGTTTAAAAAGGAAGTTTGCGTGCAGAGGTGTGTCACAGAGGCCGTCAAACCTTGACTCTGTGGTTCATGTACTACGCCACCCAGATTAAGACAAGAAACGTAATTTCATGACCCTGATTCCTTTCGTTTCGGATACATATTTCAGCAATTTTAAAACTATTTAACATAGAATTAACATGGAATGAGATTTTGGAAAAAAAAATGTTGCTACTACACATGTAAACCGCGGCTCATGATCATCAACCTTCACACTCTTTTAAAGGCTTCCGGTCCAAAGACGTCCAAGATGATAAATTCTGAAATTTTATACCCTGTTTTAACAACCCATACCCTGTTCAGCGGCGCATACCCGTTTAGGCTAAATAAGGAAGTGCTCCCCCGGGAGTGGATGAATACGCTTTCGGCATAAATGAAAATCTTTATAACCAGTGAAGGTTACATTTCTACTACACGAGCCTGTGCATGATGAATTTCTGGTTTCATTTCCAAAATCCCTACCCTGGGTACCAGATTTCCCTTCCTCTCGTGCAACCAAGAGACTATAAAGGGGACAGAGAGGCCATCCCCCATATACACCCTATTCCATAGGTAATTCGTCTCGAGTTATTTTTAGAACCGCAGAACCCAAGGGGGATTGGACAACAGCCAATCACATAGCGCGAATGTATTCCGCGTGGACGACCCACGCTACAGCCACGCGTCCTCCACGAGTNGAAGTGCTCCCCCGGGAGTGGATGAATACGCTTTCGGCATAAATGAAAATCTTTATAACCAGTGAAGGTTACATTTCTACTACACGAGCCTGTGCATGATGAATTTCTGGTTTCATTTCCAAAATCCCTACTCTGGGTACCAGATTTCCCTTCCTCTCGTGCAACTAATTGACTCCTATAAGCCCGTGGGGTTGGGGGAGGGGGCAGTGAGGAGATGATGGACTTTTATTAAGAGATATAGCCTACGATCACCCCCTCCTTGAAAAAGAGACATGGAATTAAATAGGTTACAGTGCAACTTCGATGTAACGAATCTCTACTGAAATAAGAAAGTTCTAGCTACAAGAACGATTTTCTGGCCCGCAATAGTACGTATTAAAATATGTCAAAAAGAACCTCGATACTATGGAACCTCGATATAACGAAGGGTCAAAGGACTGGCGACATTTGTTAGCTCTAAAGAGGTTTCGTTATACATGTATCGAGGTTCTTTCTTATATATTTGCTTTTGCTGGGTTAAAGAACGTCGTTCGTTATACCGATGACTTTGTTATATAGAGATTCGTTATATCGAGGTCGCACTCTATAACGAAACCTCGTTATAGCAAACTGTAAATGTCGTCGCCAGTCCCTTGGCCCTTCGTTATATCGAGGTTCCACTGTATTGCCCACTTAAATACGGAGATAGAGAATAACTTAGCAATTAATTTCATACTTCCCAAAATGATAGTTCACACTTCTGTACAAGCATTTTGGACGGTTGGTGCCGCATAAAAACGATGTATTTGTTTAATTGCCATGGTAGGTATGGTTTTCGTGAAAAAATCTTTCCGTCATTAACGCAAGGCCACCTGCAAAGGCTTTAAATTATAAGAGTCTATTAATATTCTGTAGCCGACGTGAAAAGCTTTCACATCGATCAACTATCTTGAAATATGCAGGCATATATGAAAACATAACAGAAACATTCCATTTTATATTCGGCTTGTTTAGGTAAACTTGAAAAAAAAAAGTTGATATATTGTCAGTAGTAATTGTCTTTTCCTATTGTTAAATGCCGTCGAATTTGGAGTAAAATTCATGATTTCTGTTTAAAAATTACACTTAAACTTGGACAAGGGAACACTTGGCTGTCTAGTTCATCGTTATCCTGCAGAAAAAATTTGACAGAAAACTAAAGGAACTGTAACAAATCTAACCTTTAAGAAGATTTTTTCATGTTCCAAGGTTGATTGAGATACTACTGAGCATACTAAAGGCGATAAATTTTGGTTCGCCCGGAGGTCTGTTGTCAGTGGCTCTTCACGTGTTGTCTGATGACTGAATAATCAGTAAGGGCTCTGTTTTAAATTGCACCCGTCAGCGATAAATGCACCTGTTGTAATGATAATAACATTCCCTCACTTCCTCTGAGAGCATCGACGTTTGACGTAAACATACCGTAAAATTACCGTGGCGAAAAATAAGTTATCAGAAGAAAGAACTCGAAATTTAAAATCAAAATTGAAACCCCCCTCTAGTGCCAGTTCGTGCGCAGATTAGCCTTTCCCATGCCTGATATAACCTTACCGAGATAAAATTATTTACATTTAGATACGGCTGCTTGATTTCTGAAAGAAAACTGGTGTATGTTTTAGAATGTTACTATTGTTTGTCTTTTATAAGCTGCCTTAAATTGATGTTTTATTTTCCTTAAAGATCACAATTCGTTTAGAATTTATTCATGGAGTCAGTTTTAGTAGCAGTTTCCATTTTCTAATGTTGATGGTAGTTCAGTTATCAACCTTCATTCACCTTTCCGAGAAATAATATTTTCTTACTTCTTGCTAAATATAATATCCCAGCTTAGAAGGTTCACCCATTAGGCCGTACTCGTTCCTCGAAAGGTATGAATATTGAGTCAATTCAATCTATCGGCTGGTCAGTCTTCACGACGCTATTCCCTAGTTTCATTGTATGATAACTTAAAACAGAACCAAAACAACAACAATTTTTGAAATAGTGAGTAAAGAGGCGGAACATAATGCTCATCGTGTTTACCTTATTTAGGTATATTTTAGACTCTCGGCAATTCGGAAGTCCGAAGCAAGCCGGTTGATTAACTCATCATTGAGCCTGTTTCTTGAATCTCTGAAAAAATGATTCTGTATCGTCTTTTAACCTTACCTAGTCCTTTTACGATAAGACCTTTTCATAATGCAGTCATTATCTCCCATGGTGGTTGTTGTAGAGCCTCATAGCCGGTGCCAGACAAAACTACAGCGCAGAGTATATGCCAGTTTGTTTTCCTAAATATATGATTGTTTTGAAATGTGCATGTAACGCCAATGCAATGTCAGCCCTATCACTGACCCCGCATCAAAGTAATTAAAAATTGAATCAATGCCGATCAAGATGTCCAACTAAAGAGCTCTGGCTCTGTAGTTTCCAACCACCAGGAATAAAAGGCAACGTAGTGGTTAAGTTGTAAACAAGGTTTCGGCAGTTTTGGTTCTCTTTGGGCGGAATTAATACGGCTCAAAAACGAGTTGGGACTGGAGCGAGCAATGCCAACTAAGAAAAACTGCAGAAAAACTGACGCATTATATATGACATCTGAATGGAGAGCAGCTATAGAGATGAAGAGAAAATATGCAAAGCAGTATGAAAAAAAAAAGAATGAAGGAAAGAATTGAAAAGAAAATGGAGAAAAGCGGGTACGAAATATAGACGGAGAGCAGTTAGAGAGTATTAGCAACAATGTCACACCTGTGATTGCCAGGGCTTTGGAGAAAGTTGTATATCATACGTATGTGAGGAAACCTGTTGACGAATATTTGACCCCCACCCAGTTTGATTACAGGCAAGGGGGTAACTGTGCGAACGCAGTAATATGTATTCAACATCATGTTTATACTGAATATTTGGACAATCAAGACAGCAAGGCAGTTCGTATCTTTACTATGGATTTTAGCAAAGCATTCGATTCAGTTAACCACAGTTTACTCTCTGCAAAACTTAAGCAGCTACCGCTAAACCCCAACATAGTTAACTGGTACCACAGTTTTTTGCATGAACGACAACAGCGTGTTTCATCTGGTAACCATGTTTGTACTTGGCAGGCAGTCAACAAAGGGAACGACTCAGGGAACTGTTAGCGGCCCTTACCTCTTCAGTGTTTTTCTTAATGATTTAAATATTTTTCATAATGACGTTCCGGTCCTTTTTAAATATGCACACGACTCCACTATCATAGCTTCCCAGTGGGCAGTAATTCTGATCCGTCTGACCGCTTAGCAGAACTATTTTTAAATTGGTCTAGAGAGAATAATATGATTTGTAACCCTAGCAAATGAAAGGAACTCGTTGTTAGGAAGAAGAACAATAACACACATTATGAGCAAATTTGCAAAATTCCACAGTGTAATCACTCGTCGTTACTAGGTGTTACCCTCAAAGTAACTGCGATTTCAGTGAACATGTAAGACTGAAATTAGTCGAAGCAAACAGATGTTTGCATGTTTTAAGGTCTCTTAGAAGGGAGCAATACTCTCAAGTAGAGATAGACCATTTAGTTTAAGTCCTTAGTTCTACCGAATTTTACATATTGCCTTTCTGTGTATGGAGCGTATGAATTTGAATATTATACAACTTTTTTTGGATCGCTGCCACAAGCACCTCTTTGTTTCTTCTCCAGTTTTGTATTAATGATCTTTTAAATAGAGAGGACTGTGAGATTTTAAAGGCTATTGCCTCTGCAGACTAACCATCCGCTAGGCTCGTATTTACCACCAACAAAGGAGAATAAATATATTATCTGCGTAAAAAAACAGTGTGACCTCCCCAAGGTTAATACCGAACGATTTTTGACATCTTATGTAAATAGACAGATCAGTTTTTAAACACAAGATAAGGTAGTTGCTACGTAGTATTTTATCATCCATTTGTAGTTTAACTAGGTTAATTTTTGGGGTACGATTCTTATTGAGTGTAAAGGCAACTAGAATGTAACCAAAGATATGTACTTTTATCTTTTGGCAATAAAGACTATTATTTTTTTCTAAGCTTGCGACCAGGGCGGATAAATGTTGGGCGGTGAAACGAGCGCTCCGCTCTTCATTTAATGTCTGATGCGGAGTAGGAGTGGCACGAGCGCTCTTTCCGCGCTTCCGGTGCGCTTGAGGGCCGGCGAAATTTTCCTTTTTGTAAACCGGAAATCCTATTTTCTTTCTGTAACTTCAGGCTACAATGATAAATAGATAAATTCGTTTCATAACAATATCAATAAACACTTTCATATGTTTGTGTCTGTATGCCTATAAGTCAAACTTGTTGGTCGTATAATGCTAAAATTTGAGTTTAATTTGAAAGTGTTGAATACCTCCTCCTTCCACTAAATATCACCTAATCGTCTTTCGCCGTTTCGTTTGCAAAAGCTTAACACTTCTTAACCTCAATTTTTGCATATGTTAAAGAGGGATAAATTTTATATAACATAACAAAAAATTAGATTGATATATTTTGATATAGTGGCGTTGTACAGCCTCAAACTTTGCTTCTCGGGTGCAACGCGCCATGGCGATTCGCACAATGCGTCACAAATCCGGCAACCGCATGTAAACAACATTTATTGAGGTTAGTTGTACGGTTTTTCTCCGTTTTTCTCTCTAAAACAAAACAAGGTAAACGGTAAAAACTGAGGGGAAACTAATTTTGAAGTTTCGAAGAAACAGAAAGACGTATGAAATGTTTTTTTCAAAATTAAAAAGAAAGATGATGGTGATTGAAATAAGCATAATTTCACCTTGCACGAGCTGCACGCATTTATAAAATACCCGTCATCTAGTTATGAAACACGATCTGCTGTCTTTTAGTTTTGACATGGATGACATGGATGAGATTTTCCTTCGTGTTTTATACAGTACTTAGTTGTTTTTGTTTTGGAATAACATCGACATTGGCGAGTAGTAGAACAAAAATATAATTCAGTGGTAGAGTCATAGAAGTAATAAAAGAAACCCTTTGAAAGAGATGTTTGAATTTGTCTCATCCAACTAAACCTCCCGCAAAAAATAGCAACATTTGCCTCTCGGAGACAGCGTACCAGCACAAAGGAACGAGGAAGAAGTGCAAAAAAACAAATCAAGCCGCCATAATTCAGTGACAGCGGCAGTGTTTAATGTACAAACCACATCGCAAGCCCTGACCGAAGTCGAAAACAAGCGACATTTCTAAGCAGAGTCCCAGTCCACTGCATCACACCTTTTTGCTCGGACGCGCTCGTTTCACCGCCCAACCTTTATCCGCCCTGCTTGCGACTGGGCGGAATCCTCCAAATCCTTCGATCTGATTGGTTCCGAGAGCGGGCGGTTTTTTACGATCTTGCACGCTAACCCGGGCGGAATCGTTGGCAGCTTCATTTACAGGTTTGTTTGTTGTTGTGAATGAGCATCACCGGTGATTCAGAACCATTTTTCTTTTAAAACGTGCGTTATTATTAGCGTTAGCTAGCCAAAGTGAATTTTGTTATTCAGACAAAACGACTGAAGGGAGAATCAAGCAAGTCAGCCGGGAAACCGCAAGCACAACAGGCGGCTCGTGATGTCGCTTCACTAGTTTTATAACCTACGCTGTAAGTACTGCAATCTTGCTCTTATGCACCGTTTATTCGACATTTTTCCTCTGTCTGTAGGTTTGTTTTCCATTGTTTTGCTGTCTGAATCTAGATTCTGCTGTTTTCATTGAATTTTGTCTCGCTAGTTTTCTACTTTTCAGAAAAGGTTGTTGTCAACGACTGCATGTAGCTTTCAATCTTGAATAAATAACACGAACAACTTTTCCAGCAGTCGGTTATCGCCGTTTTTATTTCTTTGTTTATATACTTGTTTAGTTACCCACATCGCCTTCTTTTATTCGAATTCACTTCAAAACCCTAAGACTGGTATGTGTAATTAGCTCTTTTTATGAAGCCTTTGTGCAGTTTTAATCTCGCTCGATTGAATTAATCTTCAACCGATGTAATTTCTTTCCTGTGGCTTTTAAGTTCGTCAATTCTTTTATCCTTGTTTGACACTCAGATTATGAATTGTCTGCCAAGACACAAAAACCTTTCTTTATTCTAAAAGAGAGCTTAATTGTGATAATTTAACAGTTAATGAATGAGGCTGAGTATCTTATGAAGAATTATGGAGATCGAGGAGGGTGTTTTCCGTCGAGGCCGTAGGCCGAGGCGGATAGCACCCTCCGAGATCTCCATAATTCTTTATATGAAACGAAAGCCGAATTCAATAACTGTTTTATTATTCATTCAAAATAATTCCAAGTTTAAAAACATAGCTAAAACATGTTTCCTCCATCGATCCATCGATGTTCAGTGCATCTTCGATAGTGTAAGTTTGTCCAGCTCCGCAAATATTCTCCAAATAGCAGATGTCGCCCTTCGAGTTGTCTTCTTGCTGTTCTTGCCGTGTTTTTAGCTATTTTTTTGCTTAGTTCTTACTCTTGAAACGAGTGAAATGTCCGCCATTTTTTTAAGTTCACAACCAAAACAACTCAACCTCGTCCCCAGGTCTTCTCGGTTAACGGTGCCTTAACCAGCGAAAACGCTGCATTTTTGACGTCATTTCCTCGTTAAAGTCAAAATTCCTCCAAATTTGGTCATCAG